TTATTCCACGATGGTCCAAGAAGTTACTTGATATGATTTTGATTTTTCAAAATGTATTGAGATTGGTTTTGTGGCCTGATGTATGACCTGTCTTGGAGAATGTTCCATTTGCTGATGAGAAGAATGTATGTTCTGCAGAATAATGTATATTCTGCATATTGTTGGGTAGAATGTTGTGTAAATGTTTGCTTAGGTCCATTTGGTCTAAAGGCCAGTTTAAATCCAATGTTTCTTTATTGGTTTTCTGTCTCCATGATCCATCTAGTGCTATCAGTAGGGTGTTGAATCCGTCCGTCATTGTTGTGTTGCTTTCTGTGTCTTCTTAGGTCTAGTAATATATGTTTTATGAATTTGGGCACTGGTATTTGGTACATATATATTTAGAATTGTATCTTCATGTTGAGTCGATCCCTTTAACATTATATAATTTTTTTTTTTTTTTTTGAGACGGAGTCTCGCTCTGTCACCCCAGCTGGAGTGCAGTGGCCGGATCTCAGCTCACTGCAAGCTCCGCCTCGCGGGTTCCCGCCATTCTCCTGCCTCAGCCTCCCGAGTAGCTGGGACTACAGGCGCCCGCCACCTCGCCCGGCTAGTTTTTTGTATTTTTTAGTAGAGACGGGGTTTCACCATGTTAGCCAGGATGGTCTCGATCTCCTGACCTCGTGATCCACCCGTCTCGGCCTCCCAAAGTGCTGGGATTACAGGCTTGAGCCACCGCGCCCGGCCTAATGTTTTTTTTTTTTTAAACTGTTGTTGATTTATAGTTTATTTTATTTGATATCAGCTACTCTTGCTCACTTTTGGTTTCTGTTTGTATGGAATAGCTGTTTCCACACCTTCAGTCTATAATTGTCTTTATGAGTAACATGAGTTTATTGTAAGTAGCATTTAGTTGGTTCATTTTAAAAAATCCATTACTGCCAGTCTGTATCTTTTAGGTAGAGCATGTAATCGATTTACATTCAAGGTTAGTATTTATATGTGAGGTTTTGCTCCTATCATAATGTTGTTATCCAGTTGCTTTGTAGATTCTTTCTTTTTTTCCCTCCTTTCTGTCTTTGTGGTTTGGTGGAATTCTGTTGTGTTGCTATTTGATTTTTTTCTCTTCCTGCCTTGTATAATTATTTTATAAGACCTGTGAATTTTATACTCTCTTGTTTTTATGATGGCTAGTATTGACCATTTGTTTCCATGTTTAGAACTCCTTTGAGTGTTTGTTGTAGATCTGGTTTAGGGGTGGTGAATTTCTTCAGGGTTTGCTTCTCTGGGAAAGACTTTATTTTGCCTCCATTTATGAAGCTTATTCTAGCAGGACACAAAATTTGTGGTTGACAGTCCTCCTGCTCCCCACCCCCAGCACTTTGAAAACAGAATCCTACAGATGGAGCAGGATTGTAAAAAACAGAAAAAATAAAATCCCAGTCTCTACTAAGCTTGTAAGGTACCTGCTGTGAAATCCACTGTTAGTCTAATGGATTTTCCGTTACTGGTGACTGAATGCTTTTTCTCTTGCTGATTTTAGGATATTTTCCTTCACATTGACCTTAGGCAGTCAAATTTCTATATATTGTAGTGAGGCCTTTCTTGCAGTGTTTTTGCCTGGTGTTCTTTGAGCCTCTGATACTTTGGATGTATAGATCTCTTGCTAGACAAGGGAAGTTTTCCTCGACAATTATTTCCTCAAATAGGTTTTCTTTTTTTTCTTTCTTTCTTTTTTTTTTTTTGAGACGGAGTCTTGCTCTGTTGCCCAGGCTGGAGTGCAGTGGTGCAATCTCGGCTCACTGCAAGCTCTGCCTCCTGGGTTCACGCCATTCTCCTGTCTCAGCCTCCTGAGTAGCTGGGACTACAGGTGCCCGCCACCACGCCTGGCTAATTTTTTGTATTTTTTAATAGAGACAGTGTTTCACCATGTTAGCGTGTTAGCCAGGATGGCCTCGATCTCCTGACCTCGTGATCCACCCGCCTTGGCCTCCCAAAGTGCCGGGATTACAGGCGTGAGCCACCGCGCCCGGCCTCCTCAAATAGGTTTTCTAAAGTTTTTGCTTTTTCTTTTCCCTTGGGATTACCTAGGATTTTGTTGGTTTGACTATTTTACATTGACCCATACTTCGAGAAGGCTTTGATCATTTTTTACAATTCTTTTTTCTTTATTTTGTCTGATTGATTAATTCAACAGATTTATCTTCACATTTTGAGATTCTCCTGCTTGGTCTAGTCCATTGTTTGCTTTCAACTGTATTTTGCAATTCCTTCCATGAAATTTTTTATTCCAGAAGTTCCTTTTTTAAAAAATAAAAAACTCTGCCTTTGGTAAATTTCTTGTTCATATCCTGAATTTCATTTTCTTATTACTTTATATTAGTTTTCAGATATCTCCTGTATCTCATAGAGCTTCTTTAAAAATCAGTATTTTAGCTGGGCATGGTGGCTGATGCCTGTAATCCCGGGAGGCTGAAGTGGGAAGATAGCTTGATGTCAGGAGTTCAAGACCATCCTGGACAAAACAGTGAGACACTCTCTCTAAAAATTATTTTTTTTTAATTTAACAAGTGGGCATGGCAGTGCAGACCTGTAGTCCCAACCATTTAGGAGGCTGAGGTGGGAGGATCACTTGAGCCCATGAGACTGCAGTGAGCTATAATTGTGCCACTGAAATTCACCCTGGGCAATAGAGCAAGACCATATCTCAAGAAATAAAATAATCAGTATTTTGAATTTTTTATTTAATATTTCAAAGATTTCTTTTTGGTTAGGATCCATTGTTAGAGAATTACTGTGTTGCTTTGGAACTGTCATAGCACCTTTTTAAAAAATATTTTCTGTATTGGGCTCATTTCCTTTGCATCTGGAGTAGTAGTTGCTTATTTTTATTTTTGAATTTACTTTTGTTGGGGCAGGACTTATTTTTTCCTTGACAGTGTGTCTATGATGTATGTTTAATAGATTCTTTTGACTTTGCTTCTTGGGTGTATTCAGTGACATAAGTTACGTATGATTTCCTTGTTTATAAATAGCCTTAGCGTGGTGGCTTTCTGCAATGCTGGCTATTGTAGTAATGTATCGGGCGGGTGGGCAGTCTCAGGACTTCCTGTGTAGCTGCAGTGGTATGGGCAATTGTGGTAGTAGAGGTGGTGGCAGAGCTTGTCTCCTTCCTGAGCACTGCACGATTGTTTTAGCAGATGTTTTAATGGGCTGTGCAGGTTGGCCTCCTGTCCAGTATGTGGTGCTAGAAGGTAAGAGCTGGATGCAGCTGTTGTAGTAGCATTTATGGGTTACCTTTGTTAACCAGAAGTACTCTGATGTCCTAGGTGATGAACTGGGCTGTGTAACTTCCAGGGGTCCCAGTCCTGTGCTCTGCCCCTGAGGCAGTTGGGGAGGACAGAGCTAGGCAGGGCTGGGCCGGAGAATCCTGCATTTTGGCCACCTCAACAGTGGACACAAGCACCAGCCCTTGCAGGGGTTGCAAGGTAGTTCTCAGGCCCCTGAAGCAATGCTCCAGGGAGGAGCAGAGCAACCAATGCCTTGCCAAAGATCCAGCACGGGGAAAGTGGGGTTGCTAGGGCTCTATAACCTGGCAGGTGATAGTGGGACCTGGTTCTCTACAGTTTTGACCTGGTTGAGTTCCCTCCTACCGTCTGCTATTGGCAGCAAGCTGAAATAGCCAGCCAAGTCCCAGGCAGTCTGTCCTCAGATTGTGAATCTGCCTCAGGCTGCAAAACTTTCTGCCAGGGACAAAAACCAGGCTCCAGGCCATACCCCTCCCAGTCTGGCTCTGCAAAGCAGGGGCCCCCAATTCTCTTACCCATGGCTGGGGCCCATGTTACGCTTGCCTCTCAATTCTGGTTGTGGAGGCTGCTCTCCTCAGTAACAGATCACAAATCTTAGTCTGGAGATTCTCCATACGAGTGACTGCCACCTATGCTGGCTGGCAGGTTTCTGTGCAGCCCCCTGTGACTTAGGATTGGGAATGGCCTCCTTCTATTTGCACCCACTGGGTCTAGGAGTATGAGTGGAGCACTTCCCACTCTCCCCAGTGCTCTCCAAGTCAGATCCAGTGCTTGGTAGGGCCAAGGAGCTCCCACTGGCTTCAGTTGCTCTCTCCCCTTCTCACACGGAGGATTCACTCCCAGTTTTTCATGGGACATGCAGTGCTGTTGCCTACTGAAGTGTTCAAAGTATCCAAAGTTTCTTTTGCTTTTTTTTTTTGAGACAAGGTCTTGCTCTGTTTCCCAGACTGGTACCTTCATAGCTCACTGCGGTCTTGACCTCCTGGGCTCACGCAGTCCTCCCATCTCAGCCTCTCAGGTAGCTGGGACTAATTAGCCGGACCATGCCCGGCTAATTTTTAAATATTTATAGAGACAAGCCATCACTATATTGCCCAGGCTGGTCTCAGATTCTTGGCCTCAGCCTTCCAGAGTGCTGTGGTTACAGGCATGAGCTACCACACTGGGCCTGTTATGCTTTTATGTTGAACTCCTGTGTTCCTTCTTAGATAAAAGTTCACAGTTTGAATACACTATTGTACTGTTTCCAGGTGGGTAAGGTTGACTACTTTTCTCTCTCTCCCTGTTTTTGGTCTGTGTGGTCATGTTACCTACTTGATAAACATTTCGGTTCTGTTCATGAATTGCCTTTTAAAAAATTTTGGGTTTTTGAATATTTGCATTATATAATTCTAGAGTGGGCAATAAATAAGGAATTTTTTGGAGAGGTCGTGTTATTTGTCTATTGTGTTGTCTTCCTTTCTCTTTAAATAGTAATTTTAAATAAAGTTAAAGAGTTTACAAGTAAAGACTTGAAATAAAGAGATTTTAATGAATTGAAGAGTTAACTTATTATTGCTGTTCATTTTCATAGGATAGCGTTAGATCTTTTGAAGCTTCAAAGCAGGTTTTAAAATACAGCAAATAGGTATTTGGTGCCAATGTGAGATTGCATGTTTCATGTTTTATGTTAAATTTCTCAAGACAGTATTGTTTCTTTTTTCTTTTATTAAGCTTCAAGTGGAAATAAAGAGATTATTTCGCATATTAGTCAACATGGAGGAAAATGGCCTTACTGGTTTAAAAAAATGGGTGAGTTCTTATTCTGAATGTTAAAAAATACGTTGGTATTGTGTTGACTTGATTTTTAATTTCTTCTTAATTTATCCAGAAAACTTTCAGAAGTTGGGGAATTATACCTTGAAATTACAAGTTGTATTGAATGAAAGTAATGCAGACACTTATGCAGGAAGACCGCTACCATCTAAAGCAATTAAGTTTTCTGTTAAAGGTAAGCAAAACAGTAATATATAATTATATATGCTAAAGATGGCATTTTAAATCCAAAAAGAGAGATAAGCCAGTAAAAGATGTTTGAACAATTGGGTAACCATTTCGATTTTATTTTATTATTTTATTTTGTTTTGTTTTGTTTTGTTTTGTTCTTACTTACTTTGAGTTGGGGTCTCATTCTGTCACCCAGGCTGGAGTGCAGTGGCACAATCTCGGCTCACTGCAACCTCCGCTTCCTGGGTTCAAGTGATTCTCCTGCCTCAGTCTCCCAAGTAGCTGGAATTACAGGTGCCCTCCACCGTGCCTGGCTTTTTGTATTTTTAGTAAAGACAAGGTTTCGCCACGTTGACTAGTCTGGTCTTGATCTCATAACGTCTGATGATCTACCCGCTTCAGCCTCCCAAAGTGCTGGGATTACAGATGTGAGCCACCACGCCTGGCCCATCTTGATTTTTAAATAGCTTTATAAGTCTGCTTGATAATCATATTCCTTCTGAATTTTGAAGACATTGTTTTCTACTTTTCATTGTTGCTGGTAAAGTCTAAAACTGTCCTGATTCCTGACCCTTGGCTTATGGCCCCTCCTCCTCCAAAATGTTCTCTGTTCCCTAATCCTCAAGTGTTTAAGGAATCCCAGTTTCTGAAATATTCAATTGTATGATTTAGTGTGGGCCTGTTTTTATCTAGTATCATCCAGCCATGTACCTCATAGACCCTTTCAGTCTGGAAATCTCTGTTTTATTTTCTGGGAATTTTTCTTGAATCACTTTGATTTTTTCTCTTTTCTTCTCCCCTCCCCTCCCCTCCCCTCCCCCCCCCCCCCCTCCCCTCCCTCCCCCTCCCCTCCCTCCCTCCCCCCCTCCCTCCCTCCTCCCCCTCCCCTCTCCCCCCCCTCCCCCTCCCTCTCCCCTCCCCCTCCCCTTCCCCTCCCCTCCCCTCTTCTTTCTTTCATTTTCAATGGGATCTTACACTTGCCCGGGCTGGAGTGCAGTGGCACGATGTCAGCTCACTGCAACCTCTGCCTGCCAGGTTAAAGCGATTCTCCTTGCCTCAACCTCCCAAGTAGCTGGGATTACAGGTGCCCACCACCACACCTGGCTAATTTTTTTGTATTTTTAGTAGAGATGGTGTTTCACTATGTTGGCCAGGCTGGTCTCGAACTCCTGACCTCATGATCCACCCTCCTTGGCCTCCCAAAGTGTTGGGGTTACAGGCATGAGCCATCACCTCTGGCCTCTTGTCTTTTTTGGAGATGGTGTCTTGCTCTGTTGCCTAGGCTGGAGTGCAGTGGTGTGATTGCAGCTCACTGCACCTAATTTTTTTTTTTTTTTTGGAGATGGAGTTTTGCTCTTGTTGCCCAGGCTGGAGGGCTGGAGTGCAATGGTGTGATCTCGGCTTACTGCAACCTCCGACTCCCAGGTTCAAGTGGATCTTCTGCCTCAGCCTCCCAAGTAGCTGGGATTACAGGCATGCGCCACCATGCCCAGCTAATTTTGTATTTTTAGTAGAGATGGGGTTTTTTCATGTTGGTAAGGCTGGTCTTGAACTTCTGACCTCAGGTGATCCACCGGCCTCGGCCTCCCAAAGTGCTGGGATTACAGATGTTAGCCACCGCACCTGGCCCTAATTTTTAAAAAACATTTTTTTGTAGAGACAGGGTCTCGCTATGTTATGTTGCCCATTCTGGCCTCAGACACCTAACCTCAAGCCATCTTCCTGCCTCGGCCTTCTAAAGTGCTGGGATTACAGGCTTGAGCCATTGTGCCCAGCCTGTTCTTTTTTTCTAAAACATCTAATGTTAAGATGTTGGATTTCAGGATTGGTATATTATTTTTGTTTTTCCTACTTGCCATCTCTTGGTTTTGTTTTACTACCGTATTGGAGATTTTCTTAACAGCTTGATGTTCTATGCTATTTTTTCCTTTTTGCTACCATTTTTAATTTCTAAAATCTCTTTTAAAATAATCTTGTTAAACAATTCCTTAAGCATTCTCTTCCTACTTCATGAATTTAGTATCTTTATTCTCTGAGGATATTAATAATAGTGGGTTTTTTTTTATAGCATTTTTCCTGATTCATAGTTTGTTTCCTCCATGTTGCTTTTTTTCCTCCTTGTCTTTATTAGATATTCTCTTATATAATTAGTGATTTGCTTACATTGAAGAATAGGGCACTTAAAAACTTAAATTTCCTTGGGGGAAGTTATGATACGAGAATTTTTAGGTCTTGTCTCTGGCTGTTTCCATTCCCCAGAGTGGAGCCTTTCAGTCACCTGCTAAAAGGGTAAAGACGTAGCTGCCAGCATTTTGGGAACCAAGCTGGGAAAGACCATTTGTGTGTGTTTGTGGGAGTCCTCACATTTAGTATATAATTTTCCACTTGATTTTCCTATTTTCAATAGACACTTTCCTATTTTCAATGACACTTTTAAATTTAATTAATTATATTTTAAAATACAGACAGGGTCTCACTATGTCACCCATGCTGGTCTTGAACTCCTGGGCTCAAGTTATCCTGCTTTCTTGGCCTCCCAAAGTGCTGAGGTTATAGGTTTGAGCCACCACGCCTGATCAGTGACACTTTTAGTAGTGGTGTGTCTCTCACTTCTGGACCTTTTCTTCTTTCCCTAAAGAATTAACCTTCCATCTTTTGCTGGGGATGAGGAGGGTCGTTGACTAGCCCATGCGTTGAAGGATGGGGATCTGCGAAACTGTTTCTCAAACTGACTTCAGCTAACCTTGTTTTATTTCAGTTTCACTACAACTTTCTACAGCCATCCCTGAGACTTTTGGGCATCTGATAACTGTGAATCAGATTCGGTCTCTGCTTGCTTTGTTGTTTGAGTATTTGATGTTCTTAGGTCTTTCTGCTAAGTCAGTTACACTTACTCATATGTCTTTGGCTTTCCAATTCTATTACTCTCATCTTTTTTCTTGTTTACTGCTTTTATAGAGTCATTGTTACAGGGTTTTTGGAGAGAACTGATCTAAATCTAAGTAGCTGTGATATCAAGAAGGACCACCTTGGAGTGGTTTTCTTTTTTTTTTAATGTTTTAGGAGACTTTTTTATATATAAATCTCTGTTCTTTTAACACCTGTGGAACATATATTCATAAGATGGGTTTGCTGTAGTTTAAGCAGTTTCCTGTTGATGAATCATGTTGATTGTTTCCAAGTTTTTGGCTATTAGAAACCGTAGTGCTATTTGGTAAAAAAAATTATGCTGCTTTCTGTACATATGTTAGAATCTCCTTAGGGTGATACCAAGAAGTGGACATCCCAAAAGGCTATGCCAAGAAGTACCTTCACTTCTCACTATGAGAGTTCCAGTTGACTGCATGCTCATTCCTGGCTGAACTATATATTTATTTAGCATAGTTGGTGGTGAAACTGCTTCTCTAATTTTTAGATTGTGTACCTCTTCTAGCCATTATTGGACATTGTATGCTATCTATGAATGCTTGTTAATTTACTATACCCATTTTAATAGTTTAAAGCTGTGGTTCTCAAATTTGAGTTTGTATCAGATTCACCCGAAAAGAAACACAGCTTGCTGAATTTCACCGAGTTTCTGATTCAGCAGGTTTGAGGTGGGCCCTAGAATTTGCATTTCTAATAAGTTCTCAGGGGATGCTAAAACTTCAAGACTAGAGACCACACTTTGAGAACAGCTGATTTATAGGAGGGTTTCATGAAGTCTGAATTTTCCTTGTTACACATGTTGCAAATATTTTCTCGTGTGGAGCTTCTATTTAACTTCATCATATATATCATTTTATAACTATTGAATATCGTGTTTTGCCTTTAAAGTTCTTTCCTATGAAAAGGTACAACAGCTGGGCATGGTGGCTCACGCCTGGGGAGGCAGGTGGGTAGCTTGAGTTCAGGAGTTCAAGACCAGTGGGCAACATGATGAGACCCTGTTGCTACAAAAAATACAAAAATTAGCCAGGTGTAGTGGTACACACCTGTAGTCCCAGCTACTTGGTAGGTTTTTCCCAAGTGGATTGTCTGCATAATATATAATTTTTGTGCTGATTTTAAAATGTTATTTTTAGTATAGTCTAAAATAGATTTCTAAAATTTCTCATATAGAAATGGATCTGTTTTTGACCCCCAATGGATTTTCTCACCAATGTACTTGCTTTTCATTTCATTTTTGTTTTTGTTGAAGAGGGTAAGCCAGAGAAATTTTCTTGTGTTCTTCTGGATCATCTTTGTCGTGTTGGAGTTCCATTTAATATCCCTCTGGAGTTTCAGGATGAATTTGGTCATACCAGTCAACTAGTAACTGATATTCAGCCAGTTCTTGAAGCAAGGTAATTTGAAGGATCAATACATATTTGTCCTTTCATATTTGCTAAGCATTTGCTCTTTTTTTCAGCTTAATTTTTTTTGTGTGTAAGGTGTTCAACTTTAGTATTATTTAAAATATTAGTGAATTATATTACATCTGAGTAATTTAGCTCCAAGCTATCCTCTGTAACTAGTGTCATATATAAATTGCTTCACTGAAGTTTATATTGTGACTGAATTTATTGCTGAAATTAAGGTGTTCATGTCTTACTCCATGTTCTTTTGCAAGTATGATATAATGTCTCAATTCATTATTTGAAATACTTCATTCTGTGTCTTCTGTCATCACTGTTTTCTCTTTTAGGGTTCTTAGTTATTGGATGTTGGACCTTCTGTACTGAATCCCCAATTTTTTTAAAAAATGTCCTCAATCTTTTTGTGTTTCTGTTTTACTTTCTGATAAATGTTCTCAACCTTGTGCTTACTACCTTTCCATTGAGTTTTTCCTTTCTGCTAATGTATTTTTAGTTGCCATGAGTTCTTTTTGGTTCTCTGAAATTTTTTGAAGACCCTCTTTTTGTTTTATGAATGTAGTACCGTTTTCACTGATAAAACAAATGGGTTTTTTTTTTTTTTTTTTTTTTAAGTTTTCTTTTGCCTATACAGATACTCTGTTGTCTCCAACTTAGTCGATTGCTTGTTCTTGGTCTCTAGAGATATCTGGTTATTGGTTGTCTGCTTGTAAATGAGTAGGAGACTGGAATGCAGGTGAAAGAGTGTGGAGAGGCTGTTGCCTGTGAGCTCCACTGTGGGATGATCTGTCTGGAGTACATTGTTGGGGGAAATCCTGTTAGTATTTTTAGGTCTTGGGCTGGGCAGTTTCCTCAAAGAAGAATCTTCAGTCTTTTGCCTGGAGCGGGGAATAGTTTGGTTCCTAATCAAAGAACAGGGCTGGGGTGGGAATTGGGGAGGAGAGGTCTCAGTATCCATATGCATTCGTTCCAGATTACCTCTTCTCTTCTTTTTAGTATTTCATTCTCATCCTCAACTTACCTCGTGTCCCTGGTTCAGAGATCTTCTGTTTTAACCTTTTCAGAGATTTATCTTTCACTCATCTGCCAGAGGCAGAGACGAGAGATCTGAGATCTAAACTTTTCATCAGTCTTTTTGCTTGTTTGTTTAAACCTTTTCCTTTTGCCAATTCTGAACAGTACCTGGGCACTCTATGAGAGAGGTTGGTTTCTAGCTTTTTCTATTTCTGTTTTATGATTCAGCTTTTTGGAGACTGCTGATACTTGCCACTTGTCTGTCCTGTTTTCTAGCAGATAAGTTTGGTTGCCCTGTCTCTGCTTCCTTTCTGTTTTTTCTTTATTTTTTCCTTTAATAATAAAATAAATCCCTTTACTGTCATATTAGTGGGATTTTAAGAGACAGTGAAAGTAGGTGTATATGTTTAATGTGCCATCTTTCCCAGGGGATTTATTTTATCTTGTGTGCCACATTACATCTTTTTTCAAATGAGCTTTACAGTTTATTCTGAAAATACCTGTAAACACTTAAATTCCATTCCTCAGAAAAATTAGGCTTTTCTCCATCATGGTATATTTTTTACTTTTTTCCCCTTTACCTTTGACAAAGTAAAATTTTGCCACTGCAGAGGTCTACATCTGGTCAAATCTGATGAAATTAGCTTTGGAATCAGCTTTAGGAACCATATTACTCATGGAAGTAGATTAGGTGATCTCGCCGGTTTATGTCCTCATAAGCCTGTCTGTTATTATTTGGACTTTTATCTAAATTGCCATTCGTTTTAATAATAGATGCCCATAAGTCTCTAAAATCCCACTGGTGAAATATTTGAAAGAATTCATGTTAAATGCTGAGGACATCCTTAAACCTGGCTTCTTTGGATATTTCCTTTTCTTAGGCTTGTATACATGGTCTAGCATTAGATTAGGTACTACGTTGTATCTTTACTAATTCAATACATGCTATTTTAATTTTACATTATACCTATTGTATCATTTTCAGTGTTTAACCCATTGGCATCACTTATTAATACTTGTTGGATCAGTTTTCTTTGTAAAAGAAATCCATTGGAATTTTTTTCTGTTTAGTTCTTTATATATAAAAAATATTTTATTAGAAAAATAGACATGGCAATGTTACATAGGAAAGCAAAAACACATTTGCAGCTTACTTGTAGGCAATTGAGGGGAGTTAAAAAATAATTTTTTTTCCCCAGTGGTTTATCTTTACATTATGAAGAAATAACCAAAGGACCAAATTGTGTAATTCGAGGAGTTACAGCTAAGGGCCCTGTAAACTCTTGTCAAGGCAAGGTAAGCATTATGTATAGATCCTATGATACTTGTTAAATATTTATTTCATATGGTAAGAATGAAATTGTAAATGAAAAGTGGAATGACCTATTTTTAAAAAACAGATGATAGTAATTGGGTTTTTAGGAATTTATCAGCATTATGCCACCTGACTTATCAGTTACATCTGTAAGAAAAATTGGCACATTTCCTACTATTGTTGGTTAAACATGAATTAAATATTTTTCATCTGACCCCATTATCGCTATTTCAGTTCTTTCACATTCAAAGTCATTTTTTTGGCGGTTATCCAGGACTATGCCGTTTTGGTTTTTTTTTTCTCTGTCTCTCCTACTGTTTCTGTCCACTTTTGAATATTTTTCTTAGAACAAAAATGACAATTAGAAATATGGGAAACTTCAGCTCACATCTTTAAACATATCACTTTGATATTTAGATAAAAGGAAGTGTTTGGTGAGAGATACAGTTAAGGAAGGAATCCTATGCATAGTTTGTTGGTCTAAAAAAAAAAACAGGGAAGCTAAAGATAGAAACTCTAATAAAGTAATTTTTCAATTAGATCTATACAGCAGCTAATAGACTTAACTGACTAAAAGGAACACTGTAGCTAATTTTTTTTTCAGTGTATCATTACTTTAAATATTTAAATATTTTCCCTATCAGTGTGATGTTTAAAACAGCGCATGTGTATTTTTTCCAAGTACTGTATACTGCTTTGTATAATCAAGTCAACAATTGAGTTCTTGATTCTTTCTGAATTCAGATTTTTCTGGAAAAAGAACTTGAAATTCACAGAAAATTTGACTTTAGTAAGATAAACTTACTAAAAATTCCTAGATTATAAAAACCTTTTTATTTTGAAATAACTTTAGAGGAAATAACTTACAAAGGAGTTCGAAGATAGTATAGAGAGGTTGCATGTAGAAAGTTCTTCCTGTTAATGTCTGACAGAACTTTATATATTTATCCACACATCGACAAAATACTACTAACAAAACTGTGGACTTTTTTTATTGTCTCCAGTTAATTTATTTTTCTGCTCCAGGATCCAATATAGAGTACCACATTGCATTTCAAAATTTTGTGATTTTTGTTTCTACTTTACTATTTCATATGTTTTATAATATCTATCTTGATTATGATAATTATTCAGAGGTTATGCCTTTTGAGAATAAAAATTTAAGAGAAAAATTGATCCTAAAATGATATTCCTATTTTGGAAAAGTAGGTTCTACCATAATTCTGTTCATTTCACTGTCTATAAGGAAGCAATATTGATCAATTTTTTTCCTCTAAGATTTCTGACTCCATATATGATAATTTTAGTAAGTATAAAATTGGTAAGTAATTTCTACAATGGTATGAAAATAAAACCAAAATATAAATCAGAATTGATGTGATAAACTACTTAAGTTTGTATTTAGGACTGGGTTTAATTTTTACTGGTTTTTTCAACAGAATTATAATCTGAAGGTTACTCTGCCGGGCTTAAAAGAAGACTCACAGATTTTGAAAATGAAATTACTACCTGGTAATATTTCAAGAAATATTCATAATTATTTAAAATAATATTCTTATGTTAAAGTATAATGCTATAAAGTTAGAGATTTTTGGGCTTTTAGTAGTGGTATAAATCTTGAAAATACTTTTAAATGTCAAACCATAGCACTAACAGAAATGACCAGTTTTTAAAAAGGAAAACATTTAGGAAGATGTTATTGACATTCTAAATATAACATTGGGAGAAAAGTTTGGGTATTGAAAATGTTTTGGGGAACTATTTCTTTTTTTTTTTTTTTTTTTTTTTTTTTTTTGAGGCGGAGTCTCGCTCTGTCGCCCAGGCTGGAGTGCAGTGGCGCGATCTCGGCTCACTGCAAGCTCCGCCTCCCGGGTTCCCGCCATTCTCCTGCCTCAGCCTCCCGAGTAGCTGGGACTACAGGCGCCGCCACCACGCCCGGCTAATTTTTTTGTATTTTTAGTGGAGACGGGGTTTCATTGTGTTAGCCAGGATGGTCTCGATCTCCTGACCTCGTGATCCGCCCGTCTCGGCCTCCCAAAGTGCTGGGATTACAGGCTTGAGCCACCGCGCCCGGCCTGGGGAACTATTTCTTGGAATATATCTATTAGGCTTTATTAGAGATGGGTCTGTTCTTTACATTTTGTTTATACAACTGTTTCATATTTTAAGAAAAAATTTTAATGTTATTTTTATTAAGTTAATAACTTGAGAAAATGAAGTTGCATTAAAGTTACATGGGATAGAATATGCTGGGTAATTTGAGAGGCAGTCTATAGTAGAGGTTCTAAGTGCATTCTGGAGTCAGCCCTGCTGGGTTAGTGTCTAGGTAAACTCGTTCTATGCCTCAATTTCTTCTTGTGTAAAATGAGATAATATCTACTCCCTTGGGGTTGTTAGGAGTATTAAATGAGTTACTACAGGTAGTCCTTGCCTTGCACAGTTCTGTAGTACTCAATGGAGGACACAGTTCCAATACGCAAGAGTTTTCATTAACACCTACTGTACCAAGTAAGAACTGCCTGCACGTGTAAAACACAGCAATGTTTAGCATGTTAGTTTTAGCTCTGATATGAACAATACCACAATCATATCTGTGTGCATATGTGATCTTGTTACTGGTTGTAGGTAAAAAGAAACATATCAGCTATTTGCTTTCACAAATTCAAGTTGTTTGACATTTTCCTCCAGTGTGAATTGTTAAAGAATTTAGGTAGGTCCATTGGTGGAAGTACAAGAAAAAAATCATACGTATCAACAAACATTCATTTATTTTAGAGGTTAGATTATTAAATAATAAGTATGGATTTGAGTAGTATATTTCTCAGTAGCTAGATAGTTCTTTTTGAGGGGTATATAGGAAGTATCATGGTATAGTGATAAAAGTCAAGGAGTTTCAAATTACAAATCAGGATTTAAACCTATGTTTGCTACTTACTAGCCTGGTGACCTGGAAGAAATACTTAATTTATCTGAATCCCAGTTTCCTTCCCTGTAAAATGGGGATGATAATAGTAATATCTTCATTAAGATTATTGTGACGTTTATGTAAAAATAATCCTTAATAAAACTTAGCACAATACTTCATATATAGTAAATAAATGAATATTAACTAATATTAGTACAAAGTATAATAAATATTTTCAGTAATTCTCTCCATGTACTTGTGTTATCAGTATGTAGCATTAATTGAATTTTAAAATATCAGTGTTTATGGAACAAATCAGACTGGCTTACTGCAGAAATATAAGCCTACTTTTCTTAATCTTAGAGGAAATTTGTGATGTTAATTGCTTATGACATCAGAGGTAGTGGACAATCTAACAAGTGAATGACCTGATCATGTCATTACAAGAACTAATTCTTTGAATGTCTAAAACATATAGTTACTTGTGCCGGAAAAATCATCATGCAAAATTGTTAAATAGTTTTAATAAGCCATTATTTTTCTTTTTGAATACCTTTTCCCCAGTATCTTTTAAAGATTTTAGGTGATTTCTAATGTGAATTATCACTGTGTCGTACCTTGTGGAATAAAACTTAGCCTAGACAGCAAGCATTTTATACAGTTGAGATAAGTCTTGTCATGTATTGAATCTATGCATTTTGGGATGAAACCGATTAAACATGGACATTGCCTGTATTTTTCTTTCTTGGCAATATTTGTAAAATATTGAGTTTTAATGCTAAAGTTGTTTCTTTTGCTGTTTCAGTACTTCAGTCTTTGAAACCTGAATATGTATTTCATTGTATAATTTACTGTTAGGTCAGCCTCGTCGATTGAAAGTGAAACCTGATTCCGAAATTTTAGTTATAGAAAATGGAACAGCTTTCCCATTTCAGGTGGAAGTTTTAGATGAATCAGACAACATAACAGCACAACCAAAATTGATTGTTCATTGTAAGGTAAGCTTATTGGAAGATACTTCGATTATTTTGAGTCCCTTATAGTAAGTGGCAGTGACTATTTTAGCCACTTAATAGTAAATCTTACATAGGATTTAAGTCTGAAATGATTATTCCATGGAGGGATTTGTGGGATCTTATTGCCAATAGTTTTTTTTTTTTAATCATTCCTAAACCAATAAAGATGCCACCTGTGCCCAGTTTCATAAATTCGTGGATGAAGGTTTACTCACCTCTCCTTCCTTGACTCCATCCCTCTCATTTTATATGAATTATACATGAATAGAAAGACAAAAATGTCTTTCAAGATTGGGAATGGGCTGCTCTGCCTGTGGAATAGCCTTTATTCCTTTATTTTAGGGGAAAAATAAATTGGGAATGATGCTTAAATGAAGGTAGGTAAAAGACCACAGAAAGAAAAGGAAAATCCAGTTAAGTAAAAAAGAAAAGGATTGTGATTGAGGAGGTTGGTTTTCCTTCCAAAACAGATAAATTTTACATAGTACAGTAGAAAATTACTGTTTTTGTTCAGTATTCAAGAGTTTTAGTGACTTTTACTTAGAATTTTCTTATTCATTGCCAGAAATAGTAGCTCTAGTGAATTATTTGAAACTTTGAACAATTATGGAATAATCAAATACATTTGATAGGGTCTTACATTATTTTGCATCCTTCAAATAGTTTTCAGGTGCTCCAAACCTTCCAGTCTATGTTGTAGATTGCAGTAGTTCCGGAACCAGTATTTTAACAGGATCTGCAATTCAAGTTCAGAATATTAAAAAAGACCAGATGCTTAAAGCAAGAATTGAAATACCTGTAAGTTATTATTGTTACTCATTGATACTGTATTGAGTCTTCATACAAATAGTCTTCAACTGCTTAATAACATGTTTTGCAAAATTGTTAACTTCTAAAAATGAGGTATTTGTGGTTCTTTCAGCCAAAGCAAAGCAAAGGCAATATGAAATGCTATAATGACTATTTTAACATTTGTGTCAAATATTAGTTATTGTCTTGATTTTTACAGTGTCTTTATTATAGTGTCTGAAACTATTACTGATTTATATTTCCCTAAAATATTTTTCTTCTATTAAAATACATAATTTTATTCTTTTGCTTTTTTTTTTTTTTTTTTAAGAGTTAGGGTCTCATTCTGTTGTCTAGGTTGGAGTGCAGTGGCACAATCATGACTTACTGCAGCCTCCAACTCCTAAGCTCTAGTGATCCTCTCACCTCAGCCTCCCAAGTAACTGGGACTACAGACAAGGACCAATGCACCTGATTATTTATTTATTATTTATTTTTTGAGAAAGAGGGTCTTGCTGTGTTGCTCAGTCTGATCTCAAATTCCTGGCAACAGACAGTCTTCCCACCTTGGCCTCCCAAAGTGCTGAAGTTACAGGCGTGCACCACTGTGCCTAGCCCTTTTGCTTTTTATGGTTCTCATTTGTTTTAGAAAGTTTGGTAAATATCTCCATTTAAACCACCACAGAAGAACATATAAACCTTTAATTTGTGTATATAATTTTCTATACACACATAGCTTTTTATTTGTATTTTTACACAAAGGGATTTCTTTTTTTTGTTTGTTTTTTTGAGACAGAGTCTCACTCTGTCTCCCAGGCTGGAGTGCAGTGGCGCAATCTCGGCTCACTGCAAGCTCCCGCTCCCGGGTTCACGCCGTTTTCCTGCCTCAGCCTCCCAAGTAGCTGGGACTACAGGCACCCGCCACTACGCCCAGATAATTTTTTGTATTTTTAGTAGAGATGGGGTTTCACCGTGTTAGCCAGGATGGTCTTGATCTCCTGACCTCATAATCCACCCGCCTCGGCCTCCCAAAGTGCTGAGATTACAGGTGTGAGCCACTGCGCCTGGCCCACAAAGGGATTTCTATATCATGTGCCAGTAGGATACTTTTTATTGGCGATGCATCATGGCTGATAGCGAAGCCAGCATGGAGGCAGAAGCTGTAAACAGTCTAAGGTTGTGGAGTGGGATAACAAATACTTAAGTAAAACTTCTAAGGTTGCTGAGTACAGATACTTAAGTAAAATACTTAAATGTGATTTCTTAGTAATTGATAATGGTGATAGATAATCTAACTGGTTGATTAACTTATACTTTCCTACTAATTATACATCAGTTATTAACATAGCTTGAACCTCAAATGGATACAAGATGTCTTTTACTTTTTGAATTAGAATGAGGTGACTCTTCATTCCAGTTCTTTTTAAGCTGGTTATATTTGATAACCTTAAAGTATTTTTTATGCATTTTCTTTATGCAATAATATGGGCAACATACTTTTGAGCACACTTTCTTGCAAAAGATGACTATGAATTAGGGAGGAATCTGGACTTGGAGGCAAGAGCAGCAGGCATTAGGACTTATGTAAATACTACAGACCAATCAGCAGAAGACCAAGAATTCAGGTCAATTAAAACGAATGCCAACAGAAATCCTCTAATATGCAGTTAGAAAATGTTATCCAATGGCAGTAACTGAGTTTAGGAGTAAAGCAAATAAGATACAACAGAAGATGGTTGTGTGCCTGACATTCTGTGAGGTAGGAATTTTTAATATCACTCACATGGATAGTCTTCCATAAGTTAAATGGCTACAACTGGATGAGGAAGGAGACATGAGTTAGGTAAGATTATAAAGGTATTTTATGTTTAAACTTGTTTTAAATTTAGTGTATGCTGTTGAATAGACTAACTAGATTATGAAATAATAATGTAATATTTTAATTTTGTGTGCCTAAAATCAATTTATATAGCATAATCTAGGTCTTTTCTTTGATCTATAGAACACTGGTGTGCCAATAATAAATTGTAAATATGCCGATACATTGACCAGTTGTCTTTAGGGCGTCTAGAGTCCTTCTTTGGCTATAAACAACCTTGATCACTTACCCCAATGTGTTATGAATTGAAAAAATACTGAAAGCTTAATGTAATCTATTATCATTAAATAATATATTTTATGGTAGCTGTTTGTCTCTGATTTTGTAGAAAGTTCTTAATTTCTTACATCTTTATTCTTATTCATAAATACTAACAGAGTATGAACATAATTAAAATTTCACAAGTTGGCAATACTTTTAAAGAAATTTGGAAATAAGAGGAAGGGACCGGGTGTAGTGGCTGATGCCTGTAATCCCAGCACTTTGGAAGACCAAGGCCAGTGGATCACCTGAGGTCAAGAGTTTGAGACCAGCCTGGCCAACATGGTGAAACCCGTCTCTGCTGAAAATACAAAAATTAGCTGTGCGTGGTGGTGGTTGCCTGTAATCCCAGCTACTCTGGAGGCTGAGGCAGGAGAGTGGTTTGAACCCAGAAGGCAGAGGTTGCAGTGAGCCAAGATCGCGCCACTGCCCTCCAGCTGGGAGGCAAAGCAAGACTCTGTCTCAAAAATAAAAATAAAAAAATAAAAAAGAGGAAGGGAATCCTTTTAGTCCAAATAGAATTGTTTTTGTTTCAAGAATGTGGCCACTGTCGTTTATAACCTGATGGTATAACATACGGAATTATTAATAGTACAATGCCATCTTAATGACAAAACCTGTGAGTATAACAATGTTTGAGATGGTCTTCCCTAATATTGAAAGTAAATTCTTCAGAAGTGTAAGATTTCAGTACAGATATCACTCAGTGTTTGTGTTTTCTTCTCTTCCTAGAGTTGTAAAGATGTGGCACCTGTGGAGAAGACTATTAAGTTACTTCCCAGTAGCCATGTTGCAAGACTACAAATATTCAGTGTGGAAGGACAAAAGGCAATTCAGATCAAACATCAGGATGAGGTTAATTGGATAGCAGGTGATATTATGCGTAATCTTATTTTTCAAATGTATGATGAAGGAGAAAGAGAAATCAATATAACATCCGCTTTAGCAGAAAAAATTAAAGTAAGTATCTCTAACAGATTGGTTATTTGTAAGAACTTTTTAAATTTTATGTTTGTAAGACTTTGAACAAGCCGTTTTGTGGGTAGTCTCTAAAAAAGAAAGTTGTCACAGAAAAATTATACTATCATTTCAAATTCTAAGAAGAATAAGCTTTTTTCATGGAGTAGGTTGAAATGCGAATGATTCATGTGTGACAAAATTATACTTAGAAAAAAATGATTTTGACATTTAAAAATCTAGGTTTTGGCATTTTGTTTAGTTGTGCTCTTCCTGACTAGCTGTTTTTCTGCAATCGCAGTTAACATCACCACCTTGATAAAGCTAGCAATAAATTGGTAGCAGTTTTGAAAGCACTAAACAAAAGATCTGTTAAAGGCAAGCAGTGAAACAGTGTTGTTAATTACAGAGCCTCGATTTGGCCATTTAAATTACTGAAATTGGTATACCACTCTAAAAATATCCTTAGAAAAGAGTTTTGTTGGTCCTCATGAACCTGCTGTCATCTAAATATGACATTTGTACCTTGATAGGGTTGAATCTACATGTTGAAACTTAATACCTCACTGAACAAGGACCCAAATCAAAATGTTAAGAGTCTTATTACATAAAGTAGACAGCTTTTTCGCATTCCCTTTATGGTTGACTGAAATAATAGTGGACAGTCTATGCTTGCTTCTTTCAAAGTTCAGTTTGTTCTTCTATAATGAGACACATGCATTCTTCAAAATCACTCTGCTGTGCAAAATTGTGCAATAAAAAAATCACAGGACTTATGAGGGAAAATGGAAACTAGAGGCACAATACTCAAACTTTCTCAGTAACCCATTAAGAGAACCTAATAAAATAGTGGCAAAAACAATAATGATAATACGTGTTAAATGTTAAGAACTACATAAATACTATAATAATATGGCAGTTTACCTAGCTTAATGAAGTCTTAGGAATGATTGCAGCTTTTGAGTTACTGTAAAGTGGTGGAAGGAAGGTTGTCTGAAAGTGAGGGGAAGTTGTTTTAACAGTCTGTGGATGAGCATGGCTCATTAACACATAGTCAACTGAGGTGACTGATAGGTGTTTGAGGTGCAACATTTTTTGTGTTCCCACTTGGTTGGTTCAGCTGCGCAGTTTTCTGTGTTGACCTAGTTTTTTCAAAGATGAAATCGTACCTAAGCAAAAGTAAAATTTGCCTTATGCTTAAATTGTTTACTGATAATTGTATTGGAACAAATTTGCATTTTCAAAGTAAACATGATTGTATTGGAACAAATTTGCATTTTCAAAGTAAGCATTGTAACAGAACTTACTGTACTTTTTTCCCCTTGACATCTATGGAGATAAAATTCCCAAGTGTGGAAAAAGAATTTACCAAAATTCCAGGCTTTTTGAGGTAGTTAGAAATAAGCATTCCTCCATGTCTGGAGAGCTGACATTCATAGACTCTTAGTAAGGAGTCCCAGTTAACCAAATTTTTGGAGAGTTAACATTGTTTGGCAATTGCTCTTTCAGACTGGTATACACCATACCCATCCTGTGTTTCCAAACATAAGATCTGGTAATTCAAAAGGATTATTTAGCATGGGTTCAACTGACATGAGTTTTAAAATCTTATTTGGAACAATGCTTGTTCTAGCCAGCTTTTTTCCCCTTCGTAATGAGGGAAGAGAGAATTGAGATAGAAATAATTCTGATTCCTCTTAGAAAGGAGGTAACCATTTTATCTCTATAAGCAGATTTGAAGGTAAGTAGTGGTTTAATAGTGGTGCCAGGGATGTGGCTTCTGAGCTATTTCCTTCTTTCTCACAATCATGCTTCCACTTCCTTGTTTCTTAAGAAGTTTAAGAAAAACATTGAGTGGAGAGCCTCTCCCTGTCATACCTTCTCTAAGGTTGTTGCCTGCATTTGACACATTGTGCCTCTAATTTGGTAATTATGTATGTCTATGCACTTCTTCATTGACAGTAAAAGATAGTGAATACTCCTTTTTTCTTAAGTTGAATGTACAGCCTTTATAGTGGTTTTGTGGTGTTGAGAGAATTAAGCCAAGATAGAGGGAATTCAGCCTGAACTGAGCTGGGGAATCTGTTCAGAGGGGTACACAGCCAGGGTGAGTGAGGAAAGCCTTTTATCTTTTTTGTGGAACTCCTTCTTATTTTCCTTTTTTTTTTTTTAATACAATAAAGAACAGAGACTAAAGATGGTTTTAAAAGATAAAAAGGTAACTAAAAACATTAGAGCAGCATAAACTAGGAAACAGAATATTAGTGATTTTCATTAAAAAGTTAATTTACCACGGGCCAGGCGCGGTGGCTCACGCCTGTAATCCCAACACTTTGAGAGGCCGAGGCAGGTGAATCACGAGGTTGAGAGTTCACGACCAGCCTGGCCAAGATGGTGAAACCCCATCTCTACTAAAAAAAATACAAAAATTAGCCAGGTGTGGTGGCGGGCACCTGTAATCCCAGCTACTCAGGAGGTTGAGAGAGAGAATTGCTTGAATCCGAGAGTCAGAGGTTGCATGAGCTGAGATCACGCCACTGCACTCCAGCCTGGGCGACAGAGCAAGACTCGTCTCAAAAAAAAAAAAGTTAATTCACCACAATCAAGTAGGCTTTATTTTTGAGATTCAAGGTTGGTTCAACATACACAAATAAATAAGTGTGATTTGCCACATAAGCAAAATTAAAACCATATGATTTAATATGGTTTCAATAGATGCAGAAAATGCTTTTGATAAAATCCAACATCCCTTAGTGATAAAAGCCATCACTAGATACTGAAGAATACACCTCAAGATAATGAGAGCCATCCATGACAAACCCACAGCCAACATCATACCAAACAGGCAAAAGCTGGAACCATTCCCCTTGAGAACTGGAACAAGACAAGGATGCCTGCTCTTACCAATTCTATTCAACATAGTACTGGAAGTTCTACCCAGAGCAATCAGGCAAGAGAAAAATAAAAGGTATCCAAATAGGAAAATAAGTCAAACCGTCTCTTCGTTGTGGAGGTGATTCTATACCTAGAAAACACCAAAGACTCTGCCAAAAACCTCCTGGAGCTGATAAACAACTTCAGTAGGGTTTCAGAATGCAAAATTAGTGTACAAAACTAGTAGCATTTCTGTATATCAGTAACTTTTGAGCTGAAAGCCAAATCAGTCCCATTTATGGTAGCCACAAAAAATGCAAAATGCCTAGGAATAGATCTAGCCAAGGAAGTGAAAGATCTCTACAAGGAGAACTGCAACACTACTGAAAGAAATCGTAGATAATACCCACAAGAAGGGAAAAACATTTCATGCTCATGAGTCAGAAGAACTAGTATGATTCAAGTGACCATACCGCCCAAAGGAATCTACAGATTCAGTGTCGTTCGTATCAAACTACTGTCATTTTTCACAGAATTGGAAAAAAGCTATTATAAATTTTGTATGGAACTAAAAAAGGGCTCAAAGCAATCCTAAGCAAAAATAACAAAATGAGAGGCATCACACTACCCGTCTTCAAACTGTACTACAGAGCTACAGTAACCAAAACAGCATGCTAATGGTACAAAAACAAATACATAGACCAACGGAGGAGGTTGGAGAACCCAGAAATAAACCTGTACACGTAGAGCTATCTGATCTTTGACAAAGGTGACAATAACAAGCAATGGGAAAGGACTCCCTATTCAAAAAATTGTGCCGGGATAACTGGCTAGCCATATGCAGAAGAATGAAACTGGATCCCTACCTTTTGCCTTATACAAAAATTAACTCAAGGTGGATTAAAGACTTAAATATAAGATTTCAAACCATAAAAATTCTAGAAGAAAACCTAGGAAATAGCCATTCTGGACGTCGGCCCTGATGAAGAATTTATGACCAAGTCCCCAAAAGCAGTTACAACACAAACAAAAGTTGACAAGTGGGCCCTAAACAAACTAAAGAGCTGCACAGCAAAAGAAACTACCAACAGAGTAAACAGACAGACTACAGAATGGGAAAAAATATTAACAAGCTATATATTCTAAAAAGGTCTAATATCCAGAATCTATAAGGAACTTTAACAAGCAAAAAACAACCCCATTTAAAAAATGGGCAAAGGATATGAACAGATAACTTGTTAAGAGAATACATACATGTGGGTCAGCAAATCTATGAAAAAAATGCTCAACATCATAATCAGAGAGAAATGCAAATCAAAAGCAATGAGATACCATCTCACACCAGTCAGAATGACTATATTTAAAAATAGCAGACATCAAAAAATAACAGATGTTGGCAAGGTTGTGGAGAAGAAGGAATACTTATGCACTGTTGGTGCGACTGTAAATTAGTTCAGCCACTGTGGAGAGCAGTTTGGAGATTTCTCAACCTTAAATAGAACTACCATTTGAACCAGTGATACCATTACTATATATATACCCAAAGGAAAAGATACCATTTCACCAAATATACATGCAGTCTCTGTTTATCTCAGCACTATTCACAACAACAAAGACATAGGTGCCTATCAGTAGTGGACTGGATAAAGAAAATAAGGATAAAGAAAATACACCACAGAATACTACACAGCCATAAAAAAGAACAAAATCATGTCCTTTGCAGCAACATGGATGCAGCTGGAGGCCATTATCTTAAGTGAATTAATACAGGAACAGGAACCCAAATACTGAATGGTCTCATAAGTGGGAGCTAAACGTTAAATACCCATGGAAAATATAGGAACAGTAGACACTGGAGATTCCAAAAGAGGGGAGGGTAGTAGAGGAGCAAGGGTTGAAAAACTACCTATTGGGTACTATGCTCATTACCTGGGCGATGGGATAATTCATAGACCAAACCTCAGCAACATGCAATTTACCCATGTAACAAACCTGTATATGTACCCACTGAACCTAAAAGTAGAGGAAAAATAAAGTGTAAATTAGAATTTTTTTTAAAAAAAAGATTGTTAGTGATTTTAAGGCCAGGTATGGTGGCTCACACATGTAATCCTAGCACTTTGGAAGGCTGAGGTGGGAGCATTGTTGGAGGCTAGGAGTTTAAGACCAGCATGGGCAACATAGTGAGACCCCTTCTTAACAAAAACTTAGGCAGACCTGGTGGTGCATGCCTGTAGTCTCAGGTACTCAGGAGACTGGGGCAGGAGCATTGCTTGAGCCCAGCAATTGGAGGCTCCAGTGAGCTGTGATCATGCCATTGCACTCCAACCTGGGCTACAGAGCGAGACCTTGTCTATAAAATCTAAAAGTAAAAATAGAATATGAGTGATTTTGAAATCAACTACAGAAGTCTAAATAAAAGTAGAGAGAAAGTTGAGGTCAGAATTCTTAAATAGAAAGTATTGGAAGTTTAAAAGTAAGGACAGAGTAGAGCAAACAACTTGAAAAAGTATGGATTAAATGACAAAATATGGAATGTAAGAGGTGTAAATTAATACAGAACTGAAAGCACCCAAGAAGAGATTAAGGCCAAAGTATGTCCAGAAAGTTAGATAAAACTTTTTTTTCCTCACCTTGCTGAGTAAGAATAAGGTTCACCTAGATCTCATTCAGAGCCTTCCCATAAATAGGATTCTTTTCAAAAAATAATTGAATATTGCTTTTCAGAATTACATGATCTGATTTATATGTTACTTTTAAAAGATAATGGCCACAGTGATACTTTTCTGGCAAAGCACTAAAGAAATGACTTAAGAATTTTTATTTTGTCTCACTAAAAAATAGGGCAGCATTAACAACAGAGACAAAGAGGATGCCTCTGTATCATAGTAGTATATGAACCACACCATTTCTGACCATAAAGAGACTTTTTTCTTGGAGGTGAAGAAGATGGATTATAATGTAGTTTTAAGAGTAAGATAAGTGGCAGTAGGAGAACATTAGACAGACTAAGCTTTATTATTCTTAAATATATCATTTTCTTCTAGGTTAATTGGACTCCTGAGATTAACAAAGAGCACTTGCTACAGGGTCTTCTTCCTGATGTGCAAGTACCAACATCTGTAAAAGATATGCGCTATTGCCAGGTTTCTTTCCAAGATGATCATGTGTCTTTGGAAAGTGCATTTACAGTAAGGTTTGTGGACTCATTATATTTTGCAGCCTGTGGCAACAAAATACTTTCCTCCATTGCACATATATGAAAGTTGTTTTTAATGTAAAAATACTACAGTTTCAATGAAATATGATAGATTGTCTTTGGAATAAAGTATCATTGGTGATAGCGATTAATTTTTGTTATCACTATAACCTTGCACTGAATTGACCTTCTAGTATCTGGAACCTTTATTAAAGGAAAGTTTAGTGCCAGCAACAGTGAAAACACCTGCAAAATGACAAAGACATGAAAAATTCAAAAGATACAGTGTGATCAGTCAGTGTTGTTCAGAAGGAAAAATTCTTTCATTGCTTAGTGAGAATTTTTAAAGCTGAGAGTCCCACCAGAGTTAATATGTAGAACTTATATTGAAGGGACAGAATTAAGTGAATGTGTAAAAAAAACCTTTTACACTGGTCTATCAATTTCTTGGCCACCTCTTTTCCAATAACCTCTTGGACTTTAATTCTTCTACCCATTTCTGTACTTTTCCCAACACTTAGGATAGTTCTGTTTTTGAGATAGAATTTTCAAATGTGCTGCATTCTGACCGTGATGACATCACTCAGTGAGTTATTAACTCGTTTGTTTTCTTGTCATAATTTCCTCTTAATCCAGCATTAATACTGTGACTTAACATGTCTGTAAGTTTTTGGTCCGTATTCTCTACTATCTTTGCAAAGTATCTTTTTCCTATTTTCTTTTGGGTTAATAGCAGATTATATAAATTAAACAGTTATTTGAAGGGGTGTTATTATATTTGAGTTATTGGATATGAACATTATATATGTGTTATTCTGTAGCATGTTGGAACTACTTCAATTAATGGTCTAACTAAAGACTTCTAACTTGTTAAACAATTTCAGACCACTTCCTGATGAACCTAAACATCTAAAATGTGAGATGAAAGGAGGAAAAACCGTACAGATTGGCCAAGAGCTTCAAGGAGAAGTAGGTTAGTATGGCTTGCTTTAAAAACAACAAAAAAACTGATGTTTCCTTCTATGGATGTTTTAGATACATAATCTGAAAGGAAAGCTTTTGGGTTCATATAATGTTATTGGTTTAAAATCTATTGTCAGACAAGATTGAAGTATTTTCATTACGTTTGCCCAGGCTGACATAGCTTTGAAATCAGTGTGACAAACATATTTTGTTGAAAAAAATCTTGCCTTTTGTTAGAAGTAATAATATTACTAATTAGAAGTTAATAAGAAAAGTATAAAATAAGCTTGGCATGGTACACATGCCTGTGGTCCCAGCTACCCAGGAGGCTGAGGCGAGAGGATTGCCTGAACCAAGGGGTTTCAGGCCAGCCTGGACAAAATAGTGATACTATACTCCTAAAAAAATTCTTTTTAAGTTCTGGGGTACATGTACAGAACGTGCAGGTTTGTTACGTAGGTATACATGTGCCATGGTGGTTTGCGGCACCCATCAACCCGTCATCTACATTAGGTATTTCTCTTAAGTGCTATCCCTCCCCTAGCCCCTACTCCCCGACAGGCCCTGCTGTGTAATGTTCGCCTCCCCGTGTCCATGTGTTCTCATTGTTCAACTCGCACTTAAGAGTGAGAACATGCGGTGTTTGGTTTTCTGTTGCTGTGTTAGTTTGCTGAGAATGATGGTTTCCAGCTTCATCCATGTCCCTGCAAAGAATATGAACTCATCATTTTTTATGGCTGCATAGTATTCCATGATGTATTTGTGCCACATTTTCTTTATCCAGCCTGTCATTGATGGGCATTTGGATTAAAAAATTCTTTTTTAAACATGAAAATATAACGTACATGTATGAATGGATTCCTATGTATTTTTTCTTATGTCTAGAAAATTACATTAAAATATTATCTTCAAATTTTCATGGTAAAAAAATCTGATTAACATTAGCATCGTGTTAAATGTAGTTGAAAATATACTTATGTAAATCTTTATAGTGAATTTAAAAAATGAGTATAATTGTTTTATTACCAAAAATTAGTAAGAGAACAAAGAGTAAGTTTCTAAGCATGTTTTTATAAAGTATATTGTAGATATTTATATCTTCTATTAAAAGATAATACTAAAATAAAACTTCCCCTTTTTTAGTTATAATAATTACGGATCAGTACGGAAATCAGATTCAAGCATTTTCACCAAGTTCTTTATCTTCTTTGTCAATTGCTGGGGTTGGACTTGATAGCTCAAATTTGAAAACAACCTTTCAGGTATGGTTACTTTCTATACCATGTTGGTTTGATTCATTCTATTGTTATATGTGTAACAAAAAGTTTGGGAAAAACTAGTATAACAAAAAAGTTTGATTTTAGTTTTTAAATTGAAAAGTCATAAAAGGCACTTAAAAATCTTATAATGAAAAAGTTTGAACATACGCAGAAATAAACATAGAATGGGTATTTCTTGTGTTCCCATCATCTTCAACAGTCATCATTCTCCCCATACCATATCATTTTGAAGCAAATTCCAGACATCATACCATTTTATCCATAAAGATAGTGGTGTATAGATTTTTTTGATAGCTTTTCATAGCAGCTATTTAAATAAAATTTCTTGGTGTTTAAACCCTGTATTAACAGGATGCTGAGAGAAAAAATCATTATAAAGGTTTGCAGCTGTGCACTTAATTCAGGTTAGCTTAAAAAATAAAAACTCTGGTGGAATTCTTTCAGTTTAAAACAAACAAGCATGCTGTAGTCTGCTTGGAGAGGTAGAGACAGCTTTAGCGAAAAGGACATGGTGGAGTTGGGTCTTAAGGAACCTGCCAGTCCACAGTGGGTGAGAGAGAAGATCTCTCAGGTCAAAGGGAAGTTAAATTCATTTAGATCATTGAATGCTTTTTTAAACTTTTCCTCTTTGAGTCTCTATTACACTTTTTCTTAACAGGGGCAGTCACAAAAATAACTTACATGTTTCCCTTCTAACTAGCGTTTCTGTCTCCAGTAATCTGTTCTGCTCTTTTCTAATGTTGAGAGCATCATTTTCACTACTGAGGAACTTTGAATATTTTGTTCCCTCCACAATGATAAAATGTGCTCTTTGACTTTTAGGTTCTTCCATTTTCTAGCTTCACGCTACAGGTAGATGAAATCAGAAAATAAATGTGCTCCTGTGGTTGTGAATAAACAATCCCTGCTTCCTATCATTCTGTGCACAGGCTCCTAATTGTTCCTAAATTATAACCCATCTTCCTACATCTTCAGTTATTCTACTAGATCCGTCCCACCAGCATGTAAACATGCTGGAATGTCACTCATCTTAAACAAACAAAAGGAAAAATCCCTCCAGAAAAACCAGCAAAGCTTCATTTGGCTCTGTATTCCTGTCCATCTACTGCCCTCCTCCATTTTATAGTAAAACTCCTTGGAAGAGTTGTATGTTTTCACATCCTTTTCTGTCATTCTGTAGCAAGCCACTTTCATCATGTTTTTCTGCTCTGTTCTACCTGACCAAATCCAGGGGTCAATTTTCAGTTCTCATGCTACCCATTAGACCTATCAGCGTGTTACATTCTACTGCATTTGAAATCAATTGCCTTAGTATGGCCTGTAATACCTACAGTATTCCACCCTACCATAATCTCACCCCTTTCTCTCTCCATAGCTCTTTACTCTCCAGCCAAGTGGACTTTTTTTCCACTTCTGTTGTTCTGTAATTGATGTATACCATCTTGGCCCATTTTCGGAATTGTATATTTAATTCTGTTTGTACCCATCTACAATTTGTAAATGCAATTTCATTTTCAAGATTTGAAATAAAACCAGAACAACTTCCAACATGACTTTAAAAAAGAAATCACCCCTTCAGAAGGGCTTTTGGTTCAGAAGGGCTATCAAATTTAGAAGCCTAAGATAGACTTTACATATTTTGAACTTCAGTACATTTTACTAAGGAATATTTATTTAATTTGTTTTCTGAATATTGAAAAATTCTTCTGTGCTTATTGAGCTTTTAGGAGAAATTAATTTTGATTATTTTGCAGTGACTTTTTACATAAAATGTTCTGTTCTACAGATCATTGAGAACATAAAACATGAAGTTTTCTCTCTGATTTATTTATTTATTTTTTTTTGAGACAGGATCTCACACTTTTGCCCGGGCTGGAGCACAGTGCAATGTTGTGAATATGGCTCACTGTAGCTTCGACCTCCTGGGTTCAAGTGATCCCACCAGAGCCTCCCAACTAGCTGGGACTATAGACGCTTGCCACTTCACCTGGCTAATCTTAAAATTTTTTGTAGAGATGGGGTCTTACTCTGTTGCCCAGGCTGGTCGTGAACTCCTGGGCTCAAGGGATCCTTCCGCCTAGGCCTTGTAAAGTGCTGGGATTATATAGTCAGGAGCCACTGTGCCTGGCCTGATTTTAAAATTTTGATGAAATATTGTTACAGCAGCCCAGAAACAAAAGCAAAATTTTGATGAAGCAGATTTGTACCTAGTAGAAATTTAAGATGACTGAATCTTCAAGGGTCACCGTTAAAATATGAATACTATAGCACTCATGCCAGTGTGGAATCATTCAGTCATATTGCAGAGATTATAGGCTAGTTTCATTGATTCTCATTAATATGACATGTTAGGCATTGTTCTAAGTAATAGAGATTGAGTAGTGACAAATCAAAGCTCCTGCCCTTGTGGAAATTATCTTGTCATGGAGAGGACATGCAATAGATGAGAAATAAGAGGTAAGAAAAATGAAGTAAGGAAGGGGATAGATAGTATGCCAATAAGTAAGGTGATCAGGGAAGAGCCTCTTCTTAAGGTTTCATATACAAAAATCTAAAGAAAAACAATGTGTATATCTGGTAAGTAATGTTGCAAACAGAGGGAAAAAAAAGTATAAAAGCTGTTCAGGTAGCAGAAAGGAGAAAGTACAAGGAAGAGGGAAATTAAGAAAAGATAAAGAGACATAGCCAGAACCTTTTGGATCCCCTACCCCTTGAAAGAAGAAATTCAGTCTCTCCTCTCTTGAAAATAAAATTTATGACATGCCATTATTGCATAGGTACAATTTATTTTCTGTCCTTTTACCAAGAAACACATCTGTATGCCCATGGGTTAATGACAAAACATTTTATTTTGTTTTTCTGAAAACTAAGTGATATCCCCTGTCTTTCTCAATGTACTTTTCCTCACTAGGAAAACACACAGAGTATAAGTGTAAGAGGCATCAAATTTATTCCAGGTCCTCCTGGAAATAAGGATCTTTGTTTTACTTGGCACGAGTTTTCTGACTTTATTCGAGTGCAACTAATTTCTGGACCTCCTGCTAAACTTCTTCTTATAGACTGGCCAGAACTGAAGGAGGTAAGTCACTTCATGTCTTCACTGAAAGAATTTAATATTACATGGCCTATTACTTTCAGATTGTCAGTGGATCAGAACAGATATATTTTGTTGCTGAAGTAACAACTAACAGTTAACAGTAAAAATAACAAAAGAGCAAGGTAATGTGAGTCTTAATACTTTGCTATTTGATTCATCATTGTGTCCTCATTTGTTAAAAATGAGTGTAATAATTCAGATCTTAAAAACTACAGAGAATTTCAAACATGCATAAAAATAAAAAGAATAGTGTAGCGAACTCCCACGTGGCAGTTACCTAGTTTCTACAGTTACTTATTTTTGCCAATTTTGTTCTTTGTTCTCTTATACTAATCTAATAACTTTTTGTTGGAGTTTTAAAAAGCATATCTCAGACATCAAGTCATACCCATAAAAACTTCAGTATGACTTCCTATGCAAGTACTTAAATTTTAAACACTAATTTTGTAAATGTCTGCCAAATCCTTTGATTTTTTTTTTTTTTTTTACTGAAATTTTAGAATTCTAATTTGATGGACAAAAATTGTACATATTTATTGTGTACAACATATTTTGAAATATATATACATTGTGGAATGGGTAAATCAAGCTAATTAACATACATATTACTTCACATTTTTTTGTGGTGAAAACATTTGAAATCTATTCTCTTAGCAATTTTGAAGAATACAATATACTATTAACTATAATCATCATCATACAATTGATCTTTTGAACTTAATACCCCTATCTAACTGAAATTTTGTATCCTTTGATGGAATTCTAGTTTTAAAATGTCCAGATTCTGGCATTTGCTTGTGAAATAGCAGGGCTTTAACGGTTTTTTTTGTTTTGTTTTGTTTTGTTTTGAAACAGTTTCTCTTGTTACCCAGGCTGGAGTGTGGAGTGCATTGGCACAATCTTGGCTCACTGCAACTTCCACCTCCTGGGTTCAAGCGATTATCCTGCCTCAGCCTCCCGAGTAGCTGGGATTACAGGCATGTGCCACCATGCCCGGCTAATTTTGTATTTTTAGTAAAGATAGAATTTCACCATGTTGTCCATGGTTGGTCTCAAACTTCTGACCTCAGGCAGTATGTCCACTTTGGCCTCCCGAAGTGCTGGGATTACAGGCATGAGCCACCGCACCCAGCCAGGACTTTAACTGTTGATGTGATAGCTAACTTTGAAAAAATTTTTATTTAAAAAAATTTAAAAAATTATTTATTTTTAATAGAGACAGGATTTCACCATGTTGACCAAGCTGATCTTGAGCTCCTGGGCCCAAGTGATTCTTCTGCCTCATTCTCCCAAAGATCTGAGATTACAGGTGTGAACCACCGTTCCCAGCCCACATTTTCTGTAAAAGAAAATGAACTCACACAATCATGGTAGTAGGTGAATTTATCTTAGGAAAGGGGCAGGTCATCTAAGAAAGGTTAACATGGTCATGCCTTAGTTTGAGATTGCTCTTTTTCACTTGTGAGTTTAAAAAGCAGATAAACTGGTTATGACAGTGTGCTTTATAAAACACAGTTTTTAAAATAATAATGTGTTGACTAAAGGGTTTTACTGAAAAGCCAGTGCATTTTTTTTTTCTGGGAGCACTTACAAAACATAAATTAACCCACTTTTTATACCTATTGATGCCAATATGGGATTTGTTGATTGACTATTACCTGGAACAGTTATGTGAAATAGTTTTGAGGTGGAAAAAACTGGACATGTTTGTCTTATATCGTTTTGGGGGATAAATATAAAAAAATAATGATGGCTGTTGGCTCAAAAATTTGTAGGAGTTATTTGTAGATCCATAATAATCCAGAAACTTAAAACATAAACTAATACATCAGTCCGTTGAGATATGGTTATATGTAGATGAGGCTAGAAAAATGATTATTTGATATCTAATTTTTCTAAGTTTTCTAATTGCTGACCCATTTTCTCCCCGATAGGATCTGTTCAGAGAGGAGGAACTGATATAATGTATAAACATGATGAATAGAAAAATATATGGGTGTTAATAAACACATATATTATTCTTTATAAATGAGGGAGCTGGCCAGGTGCAGTGGCTCCTGCCTTGTAATCCCAGCACTTTGGGAGACCAAGGTGGAAGAATTGCTTGAGCCCAGGAGTTAAAAAGTACCAGGTGGGGCAACATAGTGAGAATTTGTCTCAGTAAAAAGGTAAAAAAAAAAAAAAGACAAGTAAATGAGGAAACTGAAATGCTGAAATATTAACATTCCAGTATTAAAAAGTGACATTAAATGTGATATTAAAATGCTTATGAACCTTTTTTTTCAGAAATTTGCTTTTTCCGTTTTCTAGAAAACATTATTATTAGCCATTTGGGCTGCAAGTCATTTACTTAAAGATAACCTTTAAAAGTAGCTAGGAGTCCTTTAAAAACTTAGACTGTCCTTTAAAGGTAGTTTTGGTAAACAGTTACTTGATTAGGAATGAAATACTGTATGTTTACATTTGGAAACTCAGCAGTTTTCAAAATTCAAGCTTTCTGTAAACTTTGGCAGAGGGAACAAGGCTGTAGCTGTGTAAACTTTATGGTAGAGGGACACAACTAAACCAATCTCAAGGGTCTTTGGTTTTTTCATAATGTCCTATCCATAGCAGAATGTTAATTTTTCTTTCCATTTTCAGCAGCCTTTTCCCGTAATCTGGTAACCAACTACCTCAGTTAAGAGTAGGGGATAGAGGAAGCAGAAGGAACATTCTTGTTAGAGGAGAGGTGATAAATCAGTTTTTTGTTGTTGTTGTTCTTTAGTTCCCTTCCATGTTTTGTAGACTTTTAAAATATTGACCCAGAGGATTGGGCTTTTGTCAGGTATCTTGTTTAACACTGTTTCCTTTGATGTGCCCAATGTTAATAGGTCAGTAAGCAGATTTCTAGAATTATACAGCCTTACATATTAGCTAGGGAAAAAGCAAGAAGCATTTTAAGTCAACAAGACAGTGTAGATCATCAGTGAATAGTCCTATTTAACCAAGGGCTAGAAAGCCATGTTACTACTTTTAATGCACAATGGCAAGAGAGCTGAACATTAACTGAAGGAGAAGCTAAACTAGAGATTACCAATGCTAAATCTGAGAACCAAAGATAGGTTTCCATTTCTGTTGAACACATTCTAGTACTTACATAGCATTTGCATTGTGTTAGATGTTATAAGTAATCTAAAGATTTCAGGTGTACGCTTAGGTTATATGCAAATACTATGCAATTTTATATAAAAAAGTTGAATATCTGCAGCTTTTGGTATCCACTAGGGGTCTAGAACCAATCTCCTGTGGATACTGAGGGAAGACTGTAATGTCAGGTGTTGCTTTACCTTTTTTCAGATCATTTATCATTTCGGTAAGAGGGTCACACAATTTAGTTGACTTTCAAAAGTTTGTTTTCATTGACCAAAGAAGCCATTTGCGAATAGAACAGAGATAAATTAAGTGATTGTTACACAATTATACAAGTAATTGCATTGTTTGGCCCATATATTTTAGTGTTTCTTAAAATATTTCTATTCTTTTCAGTGCATTCCAGTGATTAATGGAAGAGATTTACAGAACCCTATTATTGTTCAACTTTGTGATCAGTGGGATAATCCAGCACCGGTACAACATGTTAAAATAAGTCTTACAAAAGCTAGCAATTTAAAGGTAAGTTTAAACTTCCTTACATCTTCATTTAAAATTCTGGATTTCATTTTCATGATAGTATCTTTAGCTGTCATATTGCTTCTTTTTTAAAAAATATATTTTACATAATCTTTATTATTACTTAGCGTAAATAAACCTCAAAAAATTTTTAAATTATTTTGAGGAAGTAGAATTTATATCTTACAATAGTACAACAAGGGGCCAACATTGTACAGTTATGACTGTTTTAATGTTTCTTATATAGTAAGATTTGCATTTCAGATTAGGATGAATAAATAGATAATTAACACTGACAAAGTGAATGAAGACAGATACCACAGGGACCCACAGAATGGATTAAGGAACAGACATTATTGGGGAAACATACATGGTGAGGCTAAACAAAAAGAGTCATGCAGGTACCTATCCTCTACTTATAGAGAGCTACCAGATCCTGGGCAGAGCTGCTAGAACATGCTGGTATATTCTAGGGTGAGGCTCCTGCCCTCTGTGGTTCTTCTTATGGGGCAAGTATGAACATGGTCTTATAAAGGTGAGGAACAGTCTTGACTACCAGAAAGTTCAAGATTAGGTATCAGTTATTCCCATGAGTACTGAGAAGCTGCTTGGGATCTAGGGGCTGGTGCAAAGTTGGAGGCCCTCCTTCTAGGGGAAAGAGGAAAAGCCGCTATTCATTGCAAAGGGGTGTGTGTGTGTGTGTGTACAATTTTTTTTTTTTTTTTTTTTTTGTGAGACAGAGTCTCACTGCAACGCCCAGGGTGGAGTGCAATCGTGTGATCTTGGCTCACTGCAACCTCTGCCTCCCAGGTTCAAGTGATTCTCCTGCCTCAGCCTCCTGAGTAGTTGGGATTACAGGCATGTGCCATCATGCCTGGCTAATTTTTGTATTTTTAGTGGAAACGGGGTTTCACCATGTTGGCCAGGCTGTTCTCAAACTCCTGACCTCGGGTAATCCACCTGCCTTGGCCTTCCAAAGTGCTGGGATTACAGGCGTGAGCCACCATGCCTGGCCATAAAGTTGTATTTTTATACTGTCTCTTCTGTGTGTTGAAGGGAATTCATTGGTCCCAGCCAGGTTGTTGCTAGGCAAGCCAGGGGGAGTTGGGGTCATATTCAGACAATCTTGAGTATCCCTCCACATATAAAAAATAAATATAAATGTAATGGAGAAACCAGTTGATATTATGTAAAGATGATGTTTCTCTTGCAATTATTTATAGTTCAATCAGAATCCCAGTAGGGATTTCCCAGAACCTGAAAAGGTGATCTTAAAAGTTGTATGGAAGATTAAAGTGCAAAGAATGGCTTATTATACACATGGACCTGTTTTCATAGTAATTACAGTTGGAGTTTTTAAATGAGTCTGTTAAATGAGTCTATGATATTGCTGCTATAAGACCTGAAAAGACTTACTTCTCTGGCTTGTCAGTAAGGATTTGATACCCAGATGGGAGACTTATTTTGAGAAAGATGGGTTGAGAGACAATGGACCAGAGAGTAACTGGGACAGGTATAAACATAGGACTTCATCCTATCATTTCAAGTGTGCTTTCTCATTTTTTCCTATTCAGCTATTGCTTTTCCTGTCTGCATGTACCATTATTACCTATTCTTCAGGTTCTACTAAGTTGAGATGGGTTTTAGGGTTTGGGAGACAGTCTGATTTTTCTTCTACTGTGGTCTACAAATTCACTGTTATTCTGAATGTTTGCTTCCAGTAGAGTTAGACAACGATTATTTTTAACCCCATAATAAAGATATGATTCTGGTTTCTGGAGAACCATCTGTAAAAGGCTGAGAGACCCTTCTAAATCCGTTATTAGGAAATGTGGCCACTGATTCTTGATCTCTTGAAAGTGAAAGCTTGGTTATCACTGTGAATGTAGTATTGCAGCAAAAATTTGAGAAGTGTATCTGAGTAAACATTCAAGAGAAAAATGAAGAATGAAGATAGTGCTATGATCCTTTGACTTGAGTGTGTGTGTACAGTATATATTTCTCCAGTACAGTCCCCTACACCTGCCCCAGCTTTAGAATATACCTTCATTGTTTGTGTAAACTTCATTTGATGTATCAGTGATATTGAAACGGTGAACTAGAAATCTGCAACTTAGTAACTGAAATACATTAAATTCTAGTGAAATTGATCAAGATGAGTGATTGTTACTCTACTTTGGATTATATCATTACATGCTACATTATTCCAACTAGTTCAGATTTTTAAAATTTAGATTTTGGAAGTATGCAAATACTGCTTTTAAAATAGGAATAGAGGGAAAGAACATTGTAATGGAAGAAAAGAACTTGATTGATCTCTAGAATTTTCTAATTAACCATTTTGTTTTGTTTTGTTTTGTTTTTAGCTCACGCCTTCAAACCAACAGCATAAAACAGATGAGAAAGGCAGGGCTAATTTGGGAGTATTCAGTGTTTTTGCCCCTAGGTAAGAACCAAAAGTTTGATAGTTGTTGGTGTTACAGAGATTCATTTTTCTTCTACTGCTTTGCTGAAGTTAAAAGTAATGACTATCCTTCTATTTAATGTTAGGCAAGAGTTGAGACTGAATAGAAGTTGAGAGGTTTTCTAAGAGTTGAACTTTGCGTAAATTGTCTCAAAATTTTTAGATTATTCACTCAAATTAACTAAATGTAATTTGAACCCCTCTCCCCTTTTGTTTTGTTTTGCTAGAGGAGAGCATACTCTGCAGGTTAAAGCCATCTATAACAAAAGTATCATAGAAGGACCTGTAATTAAGTTAATGATTCTTCCAGATCCAGAAAAACCCGTTCGTCTCAATGTTAAATATGACAAAGATGCTTCCTTCTTAGCAGGGGGTCTTTTCACTGGTGAGTATTTCATATACATAAATAAATCTATAATGATAATTTGCTTTGTACATTAGTGGAATAAATTACTTATCCTAGGTGTTCAGCACAATAAAAAATCATGCTTATAATAGCCTTTTTAAAAAAAAATCCTTTTAAGGGGCAAAGAAAATATATTTAACTTAGCAATGCCTACTCTTATTCCCGTGTCTTGCATTTATTTTAATATCAAGAATGAACTGAAAGTTCATACATAAACTGATAGGCTGAGGTAATTAATTCACGTGGTGTTTGTACATTCACTGAATTGTAAAATTGTGTGAAAGAAATAGGAACCATATGGTGAGAATTATGGAGTTATGCTCTACTAAATATTGTGTTGTGATCTTAAACCCATCATAACTAGAATCATTTAGCTTAATTTGAGTGAAAATATATCACATCAGCATTTATGATTAAAGATATTTAAGAAAAACAAACATTTATTAAATACTGCTATGTTAAGATACTATGCTGTGCTCTGAATTACAGTAATGAATAAGACAGTTTTCAGTATGCTCAGTCTAATGTAGGAGACAGGGAAGCAAATTATTTCAATATTATGTGGCAGATATTAATAGGAAATTAGTTTTTGCTTTACACAAATAATTTTCTGAAAGACTTCCATTTTCTTAAAAAGGTGAATCCCTGTACATAGTTTTAAGTAGTGAATGAAGCACCTCAAAGTTTAGATTTAAAAATTTTTGACAATAATTTTTAATAATTAAGTTACATGTGCACATAGCTTTTTATACTTTATAAAGTAGACTCTCTATACCATATGTAAAATATTAAGTCTATTTCAGGGAGATCTATTTCCTGTTATTAAAAAACTACAATAACAGGTGCCAAATGAATGTGTTACAGGTGGTAAATATAATGGGAATATTATATATAATGATCTCTTGGCTATTGTATGCTATTGAAAATCATACAAGAAAGTAAATATTCTGTTCTTGGAATACGTAAAGCATATGGTGCTATGACCAGTTGGCGTAACTCTTAAGTTGCTGAGTATACATACATTCTAGCCTTTTGGTCTTGTATGCTAGAATTTATACATTTCTTCGTCAGACTTGTATTAACATTTAAATAACATGTATGCTTTAAACATTTAAATAAGATATTTGCTTTAAGGCATACAATTATTTAACCATATCCATTAATTGAACTAGAAAGAAAATAATTTTTTAACGTTTACCATGACAGATTTTATGATTAGTGTTATTTCTGAAGATGACAGTATCATTAAAAATATTAATCCAGCACGTATTTCCATGAAAATGTGGAAGCTATCTACCAGTGGGAACCGACCCCCAGCAAATGTGAGTCATGGGAAGCATTTTTTGAAGTTAAAAATAGTTCTTACATTTAACTTAAAACTAAATCTCATTTAATGTAAATATATAATGTTATATAAATTTGAGAAATGGAAGCTAATTCACTTCATTCCTTGGAGTTAAAGAAATTACATCAGTCTATGTTTCAGAATTGACAGTTGATGCTATTGAAAAAGAGTAGTCTACTTTGTGATTTTTCTTAACATTTTAAGATGCCTATATAATAAAATTATTTCATCTGAAGGACAGTAGCACAAGGCAGAAGCTATTAAATATAAGGGGATAATATAGAAAATGAGATAGTAAAGAGATAGGATTGATAGACTGCTTGAAAGAGAGTGGAGAGAGAGTTAGAGGGTCTAGAACAGTGCTGTCCAGTAGAAAGATCACACCTGGTGTTTCAGCTTTCTAGTAGCTACATTTAAAAGCTAAAAAGAGGCCGGGCGCGGTGGCTCAAGCCTGTAATCCTAGCACTTTGGGAGGCCGAGACGGGCGGATCACGAGGTCAGGAGATCGAGACCATCCTGGCTAACATGGTGAAACCCCGCCTCTACTAAAAAATACAAAAAACTAGCCCGGCGCGGTGGCGGGCGCCTGTAGTCCCAGCTACTCGGGAGGCTGAGAAAGGAGAATGGCGGGAACCCGGGAGGCGGAGCTTGCAGTGAGCTGAGATTCGGCCACTGCACTCCAGCCTGGGCGATAGAGCGAGACTCCGTCTCAAAAAAAAAAAAAAAAGTAAAATTCTAGAGTTTTTAACCTAATATATCAAAAGTTACCATTTCTTTTTTTTTTTTTTTTTTTTTTGAGACGGAGTCTCGCTCTGCCGCCCAGGCTGGAGTGCAGTGGCCGGATCTCAGCTCACTGCAAGCTCCGTCTCCCGGGTTCCCGCCATTCTCCTGCCTCCGCCTCCCGAGTAGCTGGGACTACAGGCGCCCGCCACCGCGCCCGGCTAGTTTTTTGTATTTTTTTAGTAGAGGCGGGGTTTCACCGTATTAGCCAGGATGGTCTCGATCTCCTGACCTCGTGATCCGCCCGTCTCGGCCTCCCAAAGTGCTGGGATTACAGGCTTGAGCCACCGCGCCCGGCCCAAAAGTTACCATTTCAACAGATACTCAATAGTTTAAAAATTATTGCTGGGATTTCACATTCTTTTATCTTACCGAGTCTATGAAATTTGGTGTTTATTTTACACTGTATATCACTTCAGACCAGTCACATTTCAAGTGCCCAGTAGCCACATATAGCCATTGGCTACCATACTGGACAATGCAGATCTGAAATAAATCTAAAATTGGGAACTAAAGTTTATCAGGGTCCTGATATAATAATCGACTTCAACATTTATGGTTCATTTTGATCATTGGTTTTGGAAACTATCTTGCTTAATTAATCCTGAATCTTTGCTTGCTCAATTTGGGCCATCAGTCCAGTCAAGTTGGTGTTAATCTTAAAATAATATCACCGTAAAGTTCTATTGTGTGTCTTTTAATAATGGGGTGTCTTTCCACTGTCACTAATCTCACAGTGTACCTTACATGTATTATGAAGATATATACATGTATATATATACCTGTATGTTTATAAACGGAATCCAGATACACATTCAGTGTAGGTATATATAAGCTTTCCTCCTAAGTATACTATGTTAAATTTTGTCATTTTCCCCTCTCCCCTTCTCTCCTGCTCCCCTTTCTAGGCAGAAACATTTAGTTGTAATAAAATAAAAGATAATGACAAGGAAGATGGCTGCTTCTATTTCAGGTATTTCTCAAAACATTTCATATTTTGAATACGTATCTTGTTACAAAGTAATTCAACCCTGGAGAGATATGTGGGCTCACCTGACGAAAAGTAATTTGTGATCAAATAGAAATATTAATGTCTCTAAATTTTTGTCAGTTTTTTGGGAAAAGGTGTGTTTTCGTTTTTAAGCTTTAAATTAGTTTTAAGCTTTGTAAATTGTGATTGTATTTGCTTTTGAAACTATAGAAGCCATCAGAAGATCTTTTATGTTGTCAGCGCACTTTATAACTTTTTATTATATATGAGGTTTCTATAAAGATTAGACTGGCTTTTAACATTTCTGTGGCTTTGAGCATGTTGCTGCTTCATTCTAGACCTCCATTTTCAAATCTGAAAAGATTATGTCTTAAGTTTCTTTAAAAATCCTTTATCATCAGTAGGGTCAAAATGTTCATTATATTTGTTCAGTGCTTTTTCAGACTAACTAGTAAAGGACCAATCATGGACGCTCCACCCCTTGCCTCTTCCAGTTATTACTGTCTTCCTTCCTGTTGTGCATGCCACGCACACACTCGTGTAAACACACACATGCACATACCACAAACCCTGTCCTGATTTGGTCTTATTTAAAGTTCCATTTATATTAGCATACATCTCTATAGTCTCTGATTAGTTGTGCCCATTTTTGAACTTGATATACAATTTTGTTCCTTTGCATGTGACTTCTTTCACTCAGCATCATGAGATTCTGTGGCATATAGCTATAAGTTCATTAATTTCCATTGCTGTATAGAAGTCCATTGTGTGAACACACTACAATTTTCCATTCTGTTAATGGCTATTTGCATTTTCAATTTTGGGCTATTACAAATAATGTTTATAACACTGGTGCTCATATAAAAGTAAAATTGCTGGGTTATAAGTTCATAGATGTGTATATTTAAATGTAGATGTGTATGTTAGATGTTAAATATATATGTTAAACATGGATGTGTATGTTTAACTTGAGTAGCTTGAGGGTTTATTTGTTTTTAACACAGAGCCTTGCTAGAGTGCAGTAGATAGAGTGCAATGGCTCACTGCAACCTCTGCTTCCCTGGCTTAAGCGAGCCCCCTGCCTCAGCCTCCCAAGTAGCTGGGACTACAGGAATGTGCTGCCATGCCAAGCAAATTTATTTATTTATTTTGTGTGTGTGTGAAGACCGGGTTTCACCAAGTTGCTCTGGCTAGTCTTGAACTCCTGGGCTCAAAGCCATCTGCCCGCCTCAGCCTCCCAAAGTGGTGGGATTACAAGCATGAGCCACCGCACCCAGCCCTTCCCAACACGGTTTTGTGGGTCTTTTCAGGTGTAATCTTCTGGTGGACATGTAATAGAGTGGCATCACACTTACTTTTAATTTGCATTTTCCTGTTTATCATATATTTGTTGGCCACTTAGATTACCTTTGTGAAGTGCCTTTTTTGAGTATCTGAACAACGTTTGTATTGATTTTTTTATATTAATTTGTAGGAGTTCTTTATATATTAGAAATGTAAAGCTTTTGTTAGACATCTTTGCCTGTCCTGTGGCTTGCTTTCTCACTTTATGATATCTTGAACAGCAATGGTTAATTTTTATATGAGCAAATGTGTTAATCATCTTTTTTATAGTTGATCTTCTTTGTGTCCTGTTTAAGTCTTCCCTTATATTTAGGTCATCAACACATTCTACTGTATTATTGTGTTGGGGGTTCCCAAGACCAATGCCAGGTTTGATGATTCACCAGGAGGACTCACAGGACTTAATATATAGTTGGGCTTATAGCTATGTTTTATTGAAACAAAAGGATTCAAAGTGAAATGAGCAAGGTAAAAAGCTCATGGGGTGATGTCCAAGGGAAACCACACACAGAGGAAGCTTTCCAAGGATTCTGTCTTGGTGAAGTCACAGAGTATGTGCTTAGTTCCCCAGCAATAAATTGTGACAGTGCGTATAAAATGTTGTCAACCAGGGAAGCTCACTAGAGACTCAGCATTCAGGGTTTTTGTTAGGGTGTGGTCACATAGGCAGCCTCTACCTAGCAAATACCAGATTTTCAGAAGAAAAGCAAGTGTGTAGCATCAGCCATATTAGCACAGTGGTTTAGGCAATGTGAGCCACTCTCATCAGTTAAAGGTCAGAACCCTCCTGAAATCTAAACTCACAGATGTCTGCCAAGGGCCTGTCTTGCAAGCAGGCCTTTCTAAGGATGGCACTTTAGATTTGCTGTGTTGTTTTTGTACAGTTATACATGGAATTGATTTTTTTTTTTTTTTAAATGTATAGTGCGGTGGCTCACACCTATAATCCCAGCACTTTGGGAGGCAGAGGCAGGCAGATCACATAAGGTCCATCGGAAATGGTATCTCCTGAAACATTTTTATTTTCTGTTGTTTTTGGTTATAGAGATGCAGTTGATTTATGTATATTGACCTTGTAGCAGTTATCTTTGTTAAACTCCTTTATTTCTTATTTTAATTAATTTATTTCTTTCTTTATTTAGAGACAGGGTCTCACTCTGTCACCCAGGCTATAGTGCAGTGGTGCAGTCATGGCTCAATGTAGCCTTGACCTCCCAGACTCAAGCACTCTTCCTACCTCAGCCTCTCAGGTAGCTAGCTGGGACTACAGACCCACACCGCTACACCTGATTTATTATTTCATTTTTTGTGGAGACAGGGTCTTACTATGTTGTCTGGGCTTGTCTGAAACTCCTGGGCTCAGACAACCCTCCTGCCTTAGCCTACCAACTGGCTGGGACTACGGGTCCACACTACCACACTTGGATAATTTTTTAATTTTTGTGGACTCAAGGTCTCATTGCTGGTCTTGAACTCCTGGGTTCAAGCAGTCCTCCCACCTCCGCCTCCCAAAGTGCTGGGATTACAGATGTGAGCCACCACTCCTGGCTCTAATTTTATTTGTAGATTCTTTGGGATTTAATAAAAATATCTGTGATTTGTAATAGTTAGTTTGTTATTTTCCAGTTTTTCTGTATTTTCTTTTTCTTTTTCTTTTTTTTTTTGAAGCGGAGTCTTGCTCTGTCACCCAGGCTGGAGTGCAGTGGTGCGATCTCGGCTCACTGCAAGCTCCGCCTCGCGGATTCATGCCATTCCCCTGTCTCAGTCTCTGGAGTAGCTGGGACTACAGGCACCTGCCACGACGCCCAGCTAATTTTTTGTATTTTTAGTAGAAACAGGGTTTCACCATGTTAGCCAGGATGGTCTCGATCTCCTGACATTGTGATCTGCCCCCTTCGGCCTCCCAAAGCACTGGGATTACAGGCGTGAACCACCGCGTCCGGCTGTGTGTTTTCTTTTTCTTATCATACCACAGCATCTTGGATTTACAGCAAAATGTTAAATAGACATGATGAGAGTGATCATCCTAATCTGGTTTCAAATCTCAAAGGGAACATTTCATCATTCCACCATTAAGTGTGATATTTGCTTTAGTTTTTCTTTTATCAAACTGTTCATTTCTGAGTCTTAATAAGTCTTTTATCAAACTGTTCATTTCTGTCTTAATTATAGATTGACTTTAGATTTCATCTATTGAGGCAATATGTGATATTTTTCCTTTAATTTAAAAAAATATCCCTTAAGACTTTGTTCCTTTACTTTTTAATGTGGTAATTAGTACATTAGTTTTCTGAATGGTCAGCCAACCTTGCAATTACTGGAATAAACCCAATTTTATCATGTTGTATTATTTTTATATATTGATGGAGGTGTTTTGGTAATGTTTTCTTAGGATTTTTGCATCTACCTTGATGTTTGAAATTAACCTGCATTTTCTTTCTTACAAATTCTTAGTTTGTTGGCTCTATCATGTAGGCCTCACAAAAGTAGAAAGAAATTTTCCCTCAGTCTGGGTTTATTCTTAGGAGGATCTTATATAAGAGTGTTATTATTCCTTCCTTGAATGGTGATAGATTCATCCGTGAAGCCATCTGAGCCTGGTGTTTTTGTGGAGGAAAGATTTTAGTTATGGTTTCAGTTTGTTCAAATTCAGAAGTTACAGACCTATTTGTATTTCCTGTCTCTTGCTCAGTTTTGATATCTTGTAATGTAATTATCAAACTATCTTCTTTTTTTCTTTTCTTTTTGAGACAGCGTCTCGCTCTGTTCCCAGGCTGGAGTGCAGTGGCATGATCTCAGCTCACTGCAACCTCCACCTCCCTGTTCAAGCAATTCTTCTGCCTCAGCCTCCCAAGTAGCTGGAACTACAGGCATGCACCTCCACGCTTGGCTATCAGACTGTCAATTTTATCTAAATTTTCAAATTTGTTCTTCTTATTGTTCTGTTTATTTTCTGTGAGATCTGTGATGATCTCTCATTCTTGACACTATTTGTACTCTCTTTGTGGCTTGATTAATCTTAGTAAGAGATTTCAATTTTTTAGATCTTTTAAAGAACAAACTTTGGGCTTTTAAAATATATTTTATATGTTTTATTATTTAATTTCATTTAATTCCTTTGCATTTCATTTGTTCTTTTATTAAAACTGCTTGAGGTTTTTTAGCTCATTTATTTTCGTCACACACACACAACATGTATATGTGTATATGCATGTAGAGCTGTACTTTTCTGAGCATAGCTTTAATAGCATTCACAAGTTTTATATATTTTATTTTTATTAGTATTTGGGTCAAAAATTGTTTTTTCTTCTTTCTTTTTTCTTTTTTTGAACCAGAGTCTCGCTCTTTCATTCTGGCTGGAGGGCCATGGTGTGATGATAACTCACTACAGGCTTGAACTCCTGGATTCAAGCCATCCTTCCACCTTAGCCTCCTTAGTGGCTAGGACTGCAGATGTGTATACCACTACACCCAGCTAATTTTTTTTTTTTTTTTTTAATTTCGTAGATATGAGGGCCTCACTACGTTGCCCAGATTGGTCTCCAACTCTTGGTCTCAAGCGGTCCTCCCACTGCAGCTTCCCAAAGTGCTGATTACAGGCATGAGCCACTGAGCCCAGCCTTGGATTAAAATATTTTCTAATTTTCATTGTGATTTCATCCTTTGACTCATGGCTTATTCAGATGTTTACTGAATTGTGAAATTTAGTCTACCCTGTATGATTTCAATCCTTTGAAATTGTTACTTGTTTTTGTGCTGGGTATACAGTCAGTTTTTGCATATATTCCAAATATACTAGATAATAATGTGATTTTTGCATTTGAGGTACAGTGTTCTATATCTTTTATTTTTTTGTCTGTTTCACCTAGCAGTGTAGTAAATCTCCGAGTGTGAATGAAGGTTTGTCTATTTTTTCTCTTAGTTTTGAGGCTTTGTTATTAGGTACATACAGACTTAATTATTATATTTTTCTTGCAAATTAAACCTTTTATTATTATGAAGTATTCTTTTTCTCTAGTAATGTTTTTTGCCTTAAAGTTTACTTTGGTAACAGTATACCAACTTTCTCTGTGAATGACATGCAAAAGCCACTTTGGGAATCATGAGGGTTAGTGTTTGCATATATATATGTGTGTGTGTGTGTGTGTGTGTGTGTGTATTCTTTTAAGTGTATCTTTTGTAAATTGCATTATTGGATTTTTTTCCTGATAATCTTTGTCTTCTCATTGAAAGTTTAGGTCTTACATATACCAATTTACTTGGTTTTGGATCTGTTTTGTTTTGTGTGTGATCCAACTGTTTTTTTCCCTTCTCTTTCCTGTTTTCTTTCTTTTTGATATATTGTTTCTAATAGTCATTTTCTGATAGTTATACCATCTTTCACTGTTCTCCAAGTGATTTCCTTGGAGATTTGTAACATGTATACTTGACATAGCAATATCTAGTAATAATTTGTATTTTTTTACCTTCTTGAGCAGTGCATGGATCTTAGAACATTTACTTCCATTCCCTTCTCCCAATTTACATGGCTTTTTTGTTGTGCATATTAAACCTATCAAGGCATCATTTTTATCGCTTATAATCAGTGTTTATTTAGATTTATTCATTTATCCTTTATGTTAATCTTTAACTCAAGGCTTTCATCTGGTATTGTTTTCCATCTTAGAAAGTTCCTTCAGTATGTCTGCTGGTGATGAAATATGTTATTTTTACCTGAAAATATCTTTATTCCACTTTCATACTTGAAGGGCATTTTTACTGCATATGGTATTCAAGGTCAACAATTTCTTACCGCCATCCTTCACTATCTTCTCATCATTCTGTTGTCAGTCTCATTATTGTTTAAAAAAAAATGTATTTTCCTTCCTTTGGTTATTTTGTGGTTGTTTCCTCCCCTACCCCCACCCCATCCCCTGCCCAACAGTTTTACTATGATATGTCTGTGTGGATTTCTTTTTTACATCCTGCTTGGTTTTCACGGGCTTTGATTTCGTGGTCTTCAGTTTTAAAAAGTTTTGCCATTCTTTTGCCTCTCTTCCTTCTAGATGATTACTTTGAACTATCTTCAGTTAACTAATTCTCTCTTCAGTAACATCTAATTTTCTGTTAAATCCCTCCTTCAGTTGCCAATTTCTGTTTGACATTTTCAGTTAATCTGTGTATTAAAGTCTGCCTAGAGTTCCTTTAGGTCTGTTGTGATTTTCTCTTGGTTTCTGTTGGTTTTCATTCTAGTTCTGTCCTTCATGTATCTGGTGATTCTGTTATTGCTGTACTAGACATTTTATTTATGAATATTTATAGAAATGATATGTAGGATAAGAGTATGTTACATTTGCTTCTGTCCATTGTCTGGGCCACTACCCATCTATTACCACTTCAGTTCAGTTTCAGAGATTGACATGATTAAAAGCCAAGTTGCATTTCTTTTGCAAGCTGGTCTGCTTTAGGTTTACCTGTGCTGTTAGAATTTACTCCCAGGACTAAAGCATCCTTAAATGTGAAATTCATCTCCCAGGGCCTCCATTCTATCTTATATTCTACTAAGTTATTTTTTACTTTAGCTTGTTAACTCTTGAACATTTTCAAGCAATTTTTTTTTTTTTTGTACAGCTGTTTTCATCATGAAGGGTTGGCCTGCCATTTGGAAGCAGAAATCTGTTTTCTTTCTTTTTGGAGATAGAGTATCACTCTGTCACCCAAGCTGGAGTACAGTGGCGTGATGTTGGCTCACGGCAACCTCTGCCTTCCGGGTTCAAGTGATTCTCCTGCCTCAGCCTCCTGAATAGCTGGGACTACAGGCATGCACCACCATGCCTGGCTCATTTTTGTATTAATAGTAGAGATGGGATTTCGCCATGTTGGCCAGGCTGGTCTCGAACTCCTGACCTCAAGTGATCCGCCTGCCTCAGCCTCCCAAATTGCTGGGATTACAGGCATGAGCCACTGCACCCAGCCTTGTTTAAATTTTCAATATAACTTTCTTAGGAATTACTATCTCAGAGAAAACAATATAGAAAAAGGTTAAATAATTTTCTTCAAGGTTGCATAGATGTTACAGTGCCGGGATTTGAATTGAAGTACGTATTCAAAACCTGTGCTTTGTACTGCATTGAGCCGGTATTTTGAGAATATGAATGACATGCAAAAGCTACCCTAGGGATCATGAGCCACGTCGCACATATTGTAGAATATTATTCATATTTTCATTGTGGTAAAGCCTGACGAAAATAGGTTAATAAGTGTACCTCTTCTTAGGCACTGAGTTCGTTATTGATGATTGATTCACAGTAAATGCCTTATATACATAAATATTTCAAGTAGTACTTGAATGGAAATAAAGTTACATAGAAGAGCAGCAGGATGTTCTATAATTTTGAAATACAAAACTGTCGCTTAGAAATTTATAAAGTAGAAATGAAGCAAAATTTACTTAACATATATCAGCATTTTTGATGTATTTACTGCTTTCTCAACTTCATATTCCTGTTCTTTCAATTTTTACCATATCCAGCATTTTTGTTCTGGATGTTTTGTAAAAGAATGTACAGGTAAGAGGAACCTCGGAATTAGCAAGAAATATTTGTTGAATGAATGAAGGTCAATATAGTGTTAGTAGTTCTATTCTTCCTACTCATTTATTTTTGTGGAAAGAACAGAAATGTTGACTCTTTGAATTCCTTCCCCTTCTATACAAACATTGTCAGTAATCTTAACTTTCTTTTAAATTTAGGGATAAAGTAATTCCTAATAAAGTGGGGACATATTGTATCCAGTTTGGTTTTATGATGGATAAAACAAATATTCTCAACAGTGAACAGGTTTGCTTACTTTTTTAATATACCACAGTTAGCTTTACATTTTCTTTTTTTTTTCCTTGGTTCTGCATTAAATGAAATAGCTTCATGTTTTCTCATTTAGTTTATGAGTGAAATATTTTGTTTAAAAGTGATTATTGGATGTGAAATATAAATAATTCAACTTTCAAGAAAATTAGTATAGAATATGTTTAAATTTGTCCAATAATTTGACCTGTTACAGGAGTCACATTTCCATTTCTCTTTATATCAAAGACTCAGCATTTTAGTGTGTAGTGTCATAAAGTTGCTCATATCAACCATGCATGGAAAATATTAGTAACATTTCACACAGCCATAACAGAGAGCGAAATTATGTCCTTTGCAGCAACATGGATGTGGATGGAGGCCATTATCCTAAGTAAATTAACTAAGAAACCAAATACCAAATACTGCTTGTTCTCCCTTACAAGTGGGAGCTAAACATTGGGTACACACGGACACAAAGATGGGAACAGTGAACGCTGGGGATTGCAAAAGAGGGGAGAGAGGGAGGTGGGCAAGAGTTGAAAAAATACCTATTAGGTACTGTGTTTGCTACTTGGGTGACGGGATCATTAGAAGCCCAAACCTCAGCATCCTGCAGTAATACTCATGTAACACACTTGCACATACACCCCCTGAATCTAAGATAAAATTTTTAAAATAATAAAAGTTAGAAATTAAAAATAAATAGTATTTCAGTTATTAGGATTCTGGATAGTGATATTCAAGTTAGTTTAAATATACATCATCTACATTTAATACTGTTGGTATAGGCTGGGTGCAGTGGCTTACGCCTATAATCCCAGCACTTTGGGAGGCTGAGGCGGGCAGATCACTTGAGATCAGGAGTTCGAGACCAGCCTGGCCAATAGGGTGAAACCCCGCCTGTACTAAAAATACAAAAATCAGCTGGGCGTGGTGGGCGCACGCCTGTAGTCCCAGCTGTTCAGGAGGCTGAGGCAGGAGAATCGCTTGAACCTCGGAGGTGGAGGTTGCAGTGGGCAGAGATCACGGCCACTGCAGTCCAGCCTGGGTGTCACAGTGAGACTCTGTCTCAAAAAAACAAACAAACAACTGTTGATATACTAATTTTTTAAATTACCTATGTTTTTTAATACCTCTAAGTTTGTTCTTAGAGATGGCTGTAAACATCCAAAAATTAACCTGACCTAACTTTTATGCTGAATTTTAAAAGCAAACTGATTACTTTTAAAAGATTAATAGAAATAAATTTTAGAAGGTAACATTTAATTTTATTTAGTATGTGCCATTGTTACGTCTTCCCTTCCTCTTAAATACTAAAGCATCAATATATTGTTAATCAGAATGTCTCTTTTATTTTTTAAGGTTATAGTTGAAGTCCTGCCTAATCAACCTGTGAAGTTAGTACCTAAAATTAAACCACCTACACCAGCTGTTTCTAATGTTCGCTCAGTTGCCAGTAGGACCTTGGTCAGAGATCTACATCTTAGTATCACGGTAATGTTTATTTTCTTCCAAAACTACAAAGGGTAACAAGAAAAATTATCTTTGATTTTAGGGTACAAAATTATTTTTGTGGATTCTGTCAATTACTCCGATTAAGGTTATAGAGAAAACTTGTGCAGATGAATTAAATATTTGTAAATATCTTTGAATACAAATAGAGAATATATAACATTATACATAAAATGAATTCAGATACACTAAGCAGAACTGACTTAAAATGCAGAAATCTCAATATGCCTACCTTTTTTTTTGAGACAGGGTCTTGTTCTGTCACCCAGTCTAGAGTGCCATGGCACAATCATAGCACACTGCAGCCTCAAGCAATCCTCCCACCTCAGCCTCCTGGGAAGCTGGGACCACAGTTGCACAGCACCACACCTGGCTAGTTTTAAATTTTTTTCTGTGGGGTTTTGCTGTGTTGCCCAGGCTGGTCTTGAAATCCCGACCTCATGTTATTCTCCTGCCTCAGTCTTCCAAAGTGCTGGGATTACAGCTGTGAACCACCACACCCAGCTGCTACCTTTTCTAATACATACCTTTACTCACCTTTTTCGTGTATATATCACGAATGAGTGTGAACTATTGACTCTTCAATGTCCAGTTCACTGAGGGGACAGAAGGACATAAGTTTTTTTTTTTTTTTTTTTTTTTTAAGGGATCTGCTCTGATGACTGCTCATAGTTAAGAAAGAAAGAAAATCAGAGCTCCTCCAAGGCTGCTGATTTCATGAAGCGTAAGCAGCAACACAGCTGTCAAAAATACTAACAAAAACATGTAAAACACAGTAGTGGGACTGCACCTGTATGGAAAATTTGGTTGGTGGGATACTTACCTACTTCCAGTTTATTTTCCTGTTTTAGATGATTGGTTATTCTTCCCCAGACATCTCTTCTTTTCCCAAAACATCTTGTTGGGGTCAACAGTGCCATAGAATTACTCCAAGAGTCTTTGAATCTCATATAAGCACCAAACATTGTGTGAAACACATATAGGCCTATTGGTTTTTAAATGTATACAGATGCTGCTGGTGTTAATAAAATAATTAAAGTCACTACAAGTTTATAATAACTTTTTATTAATCACTTTTCACATCAGTAGGTGCTAAAAGTATATGAAAAGGTGATATTTTAAAATGGGAGTCTTTGTAATTTAGTAAGGTAGGAACTGTTGTATTAGGTGGAAGTCTCTTGTTCTTTTATAGTTTCTGGAACTATTTCTTGCCTGTGGAACACTCAAACTTAGAACTGAATTCTGTGCTTAGATTAAGAAAGATACAGATAATTTAATGTCGGGGGCTCTGTGTCTTATTTCTGATTTGTACATGCTCTTCTCTGGGTTTACTCTTCTGATCATTTTCTCTGATTGTTTTCCATTTTTTGTTTTAAGGATGACTACAACAACCATACTGGAATTGATTTGGTTGGCACTATAATAGCCACCATTAAAGGCTCTAATGAGGAAGATACTGATACCCCACTGTTTATCGGGAAAGTTAGAACACTTGAATTCCCCTTTGTGAATGGTTCAGCTGAAATCGTGGTAAATTTTTTATATCTTTTGGTAGATAGGATTTCTGTATTTAATGTTTTTAACCACCATATTAAGACACCTTTTTTTTTGTATAGCTATGAAGATGTTCTAATCATAGCACTAAATTGGAAAGTCAGCTGAAATATTTTCTGATTTTGCTATTACAAATTGAACCCAGGATCTTTTTAAGTAAGACTCCCATTTTTCCTATGGGATGACAGCTTTTTCTGATTCTAGTTGTTTTTAACTTTAGTGACAATACGTGATATTTTATGTTTCATTGAAAAGCTGCCATTATGTGGATAGAAACAAAAAATGTAGCCCAGGTAAATTTGAATTAAACAACTATATTTGTTACTCATTTTTTTCTAAAATGAAAATAGTTTTATTTGTATTTTAAAAATACACAATTCAAGAACTTCCATAAATAATCAAGATATTGTCACCTGTCAGAGATAATAGATGATTAGCAATTTCATATTACCTTCCAGAGTTTTAGCATATACACTAATGCTGCCTGCATACCATGTGTGTATATGATTTATATACATGTTCGGAGGGTGTAAAATTTCATTAATAGAATTGTGCCTTTATAAAAATCTTTTCTGGTTTAACATCTCTAATATATTCTCAGTAAAAGTAAGCCTACATCATTGTACGTTAATGACCACCATTTATTTGATCAATCTTTAGTGAAATTTAGTTATTTTCTAAAGTTTGTTTTTATCAACAGTGCTTCCATTAGCTTTCTTCTATGTACAGTCAGCCCCCCATATCCGTGGGTTTCACATCTGTAGATTCAAAAATAATTGGGAAAAAAATTTCATCTGTACTGAATACATACAGACATTTTTCTTGTCAGTATTCTATAAACAATACAACAACTATTTTCATAGCGTTTTATTAGTTATTACTAGTAATCTAGGGATGATTCAAAGTATATGAAGTATGTGCATAGGCTGTATGCAAATACCACACCATTTTATATCAGGGACGTGAGTGTGCATGGATTTGAGTATCTGTGGGAGTCCTGGAACTAGTACTCCACAGATACCAAGGGATGACTATATATCTTTTTGTATATATTATTTCTTTAAGAAATTACTAGAAGCAGAATGTGTTAGAGATAGGATATGCATATTTTAAACCTTTTGGTAGTTATTACCAATTGCTCTTCAGTTTATATTCCTGCCAGAAGTATATGTCCATCTTACTCATATTAGCAACACTATATATGTGAGCAGTTTTAAAAATTCTAACCAAATATCTGATTAAAAATTTATTTTTGTCACTACTAAGGTTGAACATTTTTTGGCTTTAATCTTTCTAAGATTGTTTACTGACCATTTCTTTTTGAATTTCCATTTTTTTCTTAAAAATATTAGTGCTCTTTTATTAAGTATTAAGTACTTTTTCCTGAGGTGTTTTTTTTGTTTTGTTTTCAGAACTTTCCTTTCTTTATATTGGAGGGGCAGATCATATTCACAGTGCTATCTCTGATATCCTTTCTTTAATTTTTGATATATCTGGATTTTATTGACCCTTTTTCAAATCCATTAATTTTCTTGATATCTTTATCAGTAATTCTAACAGTACTAATAGATATGAAATGTTACCTTTTCTTATATTTTTGTTGTTGTTCATTTCTGTGTCTAATTCATTGCAACATCACATTGTTTCAGTAAAATTAGGCTTATACAGTAGGAGCCTGCAAGCTGTATCCCGCCTGAAGACTTGTCAGTTGGTCTGGCAGTGGCTGACCAATACAGCATTTTCATTTTAATTAATTTCCAACATTTAAAGTTCTGGAGTTTTTAAATAAAACTCTGCATTTCTAATTTACTTGGTAAAATCTAAAGATCTGGCAACACTGGGTGAGGATTGTCTTAGCCAACTGTGTGTTCACCCTGAACAGTGACTCCTCCTCTCAGTGCATCTGGTTTCCAGTCAGCCACTTCCATGCCACTTCTTTTCATTTATTGACATTGAGGACATATATATTTATCACTTATATTCACACTTGTTCTTCTGTTTTTATTATAGTAGAGAATAAAGTAAAATTTTCTTGTGCTCTAACAAAAATTAGGTAATGAAAGCCACATTGAAAAACAAAGGGGAGTGGAGAGACATACTTAACATGCAGAGTGGGTTCGTATTGGAAGAAGACATCTAGTCCACTTTACCTGTTTTCCTATTTAGCTATGTCCAGTTTTCTTGGCCCCCTTGTAGTCATTTGAAATTGGTAAGCCTGCTGTATATACTCCTGAGATTCAGACAGAGATTTGGTTAATCCCCAGCAGCTGTATATAAAAATCTCTTCACATCATGCATGTAAATGTACTCTTACCACTAGAGGTCCCTGATATCTCACTGAATAAATAGAAAACTCAAGTCCTTCTTGGCTCCTGCCTCACATATTGATTTAGTATGTCTGGAGCAGGGCTCTAAAATCTGATTTTTAACAAGCAGGCGATTCTTAACAAGCAGGTGATTCTTATCATTAGGGAAGTTTAGGAAACACTGGTCCAGAGCACAACCAGTATTTGTAAATGTTCCACGTTATTGCTTTGTTTAAAGTTACAATCTAAATTTGTAGTTGCTCAAATTTGTTAAATTGTGCTATTCAGATTCACTGTATTATTTGCCTACATGAGCTGGACGTTTCTGATGGCAGTGTCTTAAGTTTCATTCTGATACGCATTTGTTTGTTTCTCATATGCCAAATTTCCGTTTATACTTGGATCCAGTTTGGGATTCTTCAGTTCTCTTCATTTCTGTTATTCTGTTTATCCTTTTTTCTTGGTAGGTACGCATCAGGGATTAAAAACTGTAAAACTTTGAGATAGGAGATTCCTCTTTAAACAAGACAAAAAGGAAAAGATTATATTTAACTACATTAAAAGTTACACTTTCCGCCAGGCACAGTAGCTCATGCCTATAACCTTAACACTTTGGGAGGCCAAGGTGGAAGGATTGCTGGAGCCCAGGAATTCAAGACCAGCTTGGGCAACATGGCAAAATCCCATCTCTACAAAAAATAGCCACGCATGGTGACACATGCCTATAGCCACAGCTACTCATGTGGCTGAGGTGGGAAGATAGCTTAAGCCTGGGAGGTTGAGACTACAGTGAGCCATGATTATGCTACTGCACTCCAGCCTGGGTGACAGAGCAAGACCCTGTCTCAAAAAAAAAAAAAAAAAAAAAAAAGGTTACACTTTATGTACTGTAAGCATATCTTAAACAGAATTAAAAGAAACAGTGACAATGTGTTGATAATTGTTGACACTGGATGATCAGATTTATTATCTGATTCTGTATTAGAAAAAACAGTCTTTAAGGTAGTAAATTGAGGAGAAATACCAATTTTGCTATATGCAGTCATGTCATCACTTAATGATGGGCATACATTCTAAGAAATATATCATCAGGTGATTTCATTGTTGTGCAAATATCATAGAGTATACTTAAACCTAGGTGATACAGCCTACTATACACCTGGGCTATATGTCATAACCTATTTCCTTTTTTTTTTTTTTTTTTTGAGATGGAGTGTCGCTCTGTCACCCAGGCTGGAGTGCATTGGTGCACTCTTGGCTCACTGCAGCCTCCGCCTCCTGGGTCCAAACAATCCTCCCACCTCAGCCTTCTGAGTAGCTGGGACTACAGGCACGTGCCCACCACACCCAGCTGATTTTTATATTTTCAGTAGAGACAGGGTTTCACCACGTTGGCCAGGTTGGTCTCAAACTCTGACCTCAGACGATCCACCCACCTCAGCCTCCCAAAGTGCTGGGATTGTAGGCATGAGCCACCACGCCCAGCAGCATAACCTGTTTCTCCTAGACTACAAACCTGTACAGTATGTGACTATACTGAACACTGTAGGTAATTTTAATATAATAGTATTTGTGTATCTAAACATAGAAAAGGTATAGTAAAATGCAGTATTATAATCTTTTGGGACCACCATTATACATGTGGTCCTTTGTTAATGAAATGTTGTTATGTGGTGCATGACTGTGTTAGATACATATAATTAGAGGACTGATATATTGAACAGATTTCTAAAACCTCCTAAGGAACTACTTGCAAATCAATCAAAAAAAAAGACAAACCAGTAGAAAAATAAATGGGCAAAGAATATGAGCAGGCAATTAATGGAAAAGAAAATATAAATAACCTGTAAACATAAGAAGCATGATTTCAATACCACTCAGGGGAGATATTAGTTAAAATAATAATGACTGGTTGCTTTTTAATTCTCCTTTTTAGAAAAAAATATATGATTTATATTAAATGTTGGCCAGCATAAGGGGAATTTGGCAGTCCCATACACTGCTGGTGAGAGGATAAATTGATACAACTTCTTATGAGGGAAATTTGATACTTGCCTTTTAAAATAAACTTGTACTTATCATTATTCATCCCAGAAAACACTTTTGCAGAGAAACATTTGGAGATATATTTTTGCTATATTATAGATAATTGTTTGAAAATTGTAAACGTACTAAATATTCACCACCCGATGAATGAGTAGTATAGTATAATGTACTATGCATAAATTTTAAATTGGCATCTATACATTCACATGAATTGATCAAATCGAGTGCTGAAATCAAGTTGCTAAAGTATAAAGTATATGTTACTTATTTTTAAAATGCAAACAGTATTTTTTAAATACGTGTTTGCATTTGTGTAAGTCTGTTGAAAACCACATTCAGAAACTGGCAGTTGGTTTAATGGTGGGCTTGTATTCTATATTCTTTGGGAAAAAGTCTGTGAGCTATAATTTATAATTTTATTTCATGGATTGACCTACAGTGTCATATTGATTTAGATTTTTTAAAAATACTGCTTCTTTGTAAATTGTATTGTTATAGTCTAAACAAAAACAGCTGCTGTCATTGTTTCCCATAGAATTGTGTGGAAAAAAATCATTTCAGATAAAAATATATTTGTGTCATTTACTAGTTATATGTTATGGTCTTAAAGTATATCAAAAGGTTTTTTGTCCATTAATGAGAAAAACACAATTTAAAAAATCTTTAGAGCTTTTCAAAATCTCTTGTTCTGTCACCTGGGACTTTGATGGGTCTATTTCCATGGTAACAGCTGTAACTTAAACTCAGCATTGGGCTTTGTGATTGTTTTTATAACTTTCACACTATCAGCTGTTTCATGCTGCTTTCAATTTAGAGGTTAGAATCAAGAAGATTTTACAGGTCAGAACTATAAGCAGCCATCCATATTTCTAATGTGAAGGAAATAACTATTTCTTGAAATTTTTTATTATACATAATTTTCACATAAGCTGTTTATTGATACGATCATTTGGCTTTCAAACCAATACCAGAAGGTAAAATGTTTTATGTCTTGGGTAGTGGTGAGTGGTGATGATGGTTTAATGGAATCTTAAGGATCAGCCTATGCCTTTGGCCTTTAAAATTAACCACTTAACTTGAAAACAGAGCATAATGAGTTATGTAACATTTTTATGTTGAAAGATTTCTTTTTAAATCTTGTTTTCCCCTTTTGTTTGTTTATATGTACAGAGTCTGGTGCTGGCAGAAAGTAGTCCTGGAAGGGATAGTACTGAATATTTTATTGTATTTGAGCCCCGGCTACCACTTTTATCAAGAACCTTAGAACCATATATCCTACCATTCATGTTTTACAATGGTAAGTTTCTAGGAAATAAATGGTTAAACTCCATTGTTAGTGATACTTTAGATAACCTTGTTTTGCTTTCCATTAACATGGTGTTTATTAGCTATTTAGTCACATCATGACATATTTTAGAAAAGTCAGTTTTTACATTAAATTATCTCAATTTTTTTTCTTAGATGTTAAGAAGCAGCAACAAATGGCAGCACTTACAAAAGAAAAGGACCAATTATCTCAGTCTATTATTATGTATAAAAGTTTATTTGAAGCCAGCCAACAGCTTCTTAATGAAATGAAATGTAAGTCATTTTGTATTCAAGACAAAAATTATGCTTTGGGGAATGATGAGGCAGGAGGTGAAATCATGATACACAAACATGCTTCCACTTTCCTAAACCACAAGTAAAATGCAGAATGTTGCAGAAAGGTGGTAATGATGGTTGATACTGTCATTGAGAATTCTTAAGATGAAGTATTTCTTATTTTAAATAAATTTGTATCCTGCTTACTTATAAAAAATTGACACATTCTGTTAGGAATGTGGACCTGTGGAAAATTTAAGGCTTTCTACATAATAATAATGTTTATATTTAGCTCTGGCTTCTGGCAAAAGATACTGGATAATATCACCAAGGGAGTGATGTGTAATGTAATTTTTCATTTGACTAATGAGCTGTATGTATTTTACTTCAAACATCTGCAGTTTGTCATACTATGGAGGTATCTGGGGCAGCACACACTGATACTGAAATATGTAAATTATTCTTGAGTCACTTCACAGAATATTTGCTGCAGTTTTTTTGTTTTTGTTTTTTGAGACACAGTCTCACTCTGTCACCCAGACTGGAGTGCAGTGGTGTGATCTTACTCACTGCACCCTGCGCCTCCCAGATTCAAGTGATTCTCGTGCCTCAGCCTCCCAAGTAGCTAGGATTACAGGCACCACCACGCCTGGCTGATTTTTGTATTTTTAGTAGAGACAGGATTTCACCATGTTGGCCAGGCTGGTCTCGAACTTCTTTTTTTTTTTTTTTTTTTTTTTGAGACGGAGTCTCGCTCTGTCACCCGGGCTGGAGTGCAGTGGCCGGATCTCAGCTCACTGCAAGCTCCGCCTCCGGGGTTTACGCCATTCTCCTGCCTCAGCCTCCCGAGTAGCTGGGAGTACAGGCGCCCGCCACCTCGCCCGGCTAATTTTTTTTGTACTTTAGTAGAGACGGGGTTTCACCGTGTTAGCCAGGATGGTCTCGATCTCCTGACCTCGTGATCCGCCCGTCTCGGCCTCCCAAAGTGCTGGGATTACAGGCTTGAGCCACCGCGCCCGGCCACTGGTCTCGAACTTCTTACCTCAAGTGATCTGCCCACCTTGGCCCCCCCAAAGTGCTAGGATTACAGGTGTGAGCCACCACACCCAGCCTACGTTTGCTGCAATTCTTAATAATGTTTCATATAATTGAAAGACATTTTCTGAGTTGTGCTCTATCATCTCTTCCCTTTTCATTTGTCATATTTTTTTGGTAAAGTTTTTGACTTTGTGTTAGTTATTTTGATCAAGTTAACCAAGAAATACTTAACTGCTTGCCTCAAAGTACTCACTTTCATGTATGCCTGTACAAGATCAAGGATATTTAGAATATAATAGGAGCTAAATCTAGTAATGAGATAATATGTCATTTGTGTAGCACTAAAAATTGTTTTTATAAAGTCTTTCTTTGTTCGAGAACAACCTTGTGCAATTATGTATAAATTATGTATACTCGTGAATTAAGTCACTTATCCAAGATTACTAGGAGTTTGCAGTATATCATATCTCCCTTTAGTTGCATTAATTTTGTTTTCTCATTTTTGTGTATCAGAATTGAGACTTAAGATGTATAGTTTAATTTTGAATTTCTAAAATGGTCACCTATCAGTTTTCATTTTAGCAACAGACATTAAAAGGAAAAAACGAAAGGAATTTAAAAATATTTTCCAAAAACTATGATTTGGGGGCTATCAGAAATTGATGCAAGTTTTTTGTTTTTAATTTTAGGTCAAGTTGAAGAAGCAAGATTAAAAGAGGCCCAATTGCGAAATGAACTAAAAATACATAATATTGACATTCCTACAACACAACAGGTACAATTTCCAAGTATACGTGAAAGATTTTTTATTAAAGTCCATTCTACAATATGCAGTTTTTATTAGGAATTTTATGAGTATTGTTTTAGGGTACAAGGACGTGTGCATTATAGTCTAGTCACTAGACATTAAAAATGACTAACAAAATGATAGAGTGCTCTATTCAGAGAAATTGCAATTTGTATTTTTAATGTAATGACACCAATAAATGCAGTTAATAATACATCACTTCAAGTACTGCTTTGAAAAGGGTGCATAACCAATACATGTGGTGGTAAACAAAGTAAGAGAAAATAAAAAGCAATCTAGATTTTTAAAATTTATATTCTTTTATATGTGTAACTCGGATTCAAAGAGAAGTCCTATTATAGGTAGTGTATATCTTCGCTAAGATTTTTTAAAATTCAGTGAAGTGGGAACTTTATATTACTATAATCATGGTTTTTAAAATTGTGTTTTCTTTGTGTGTGTGTGTTTTCTGACAGTTTGCCTTTTTTTTTTTTTTTAAATAATGCCTACTTACCAACTTTATATTCTTGAGTTATCTAAATTGTTAATTTTTCTCCACTGTCATTATGGGCTGCCTGGTTCAAGAGTAATTGGTCTTGTAGTTAATTTTTCTTTATAAATTATAGGTGCCACACATTGAAGCGCTTCTGAAAAGAAAGCTATCAGAACAGGAAGAACTGAAGAAAAAACCTAGAAGATCATGTACTCTTCCAAACTATACTAAAGGCAGTGGGGATGTTTTGGGAAAGGTTTGTGTTTATTAAGCCTTTGGAGAGGCAGTACATTTTATTATCTTGTTTGTTTAAAATGGGTCTTCTAAAAGTGACAAAAAAGTGTCAGGTTCTTTGTAATTTACTTCTTTCCAATAAAGTACCTGCTGTCATTATTGCAGTAGGGATTTGGTAGAGTTTAAAACTGAAATCAGTAATATTACTATTGAGGGCTGTGGCAGAAGTTGTTAAGATGTATTAGTTCAAGGCTTATTGTTTACTTAGAGATGCTTTCATGTCATGCAGCTCTTTTTTTGGAGGGGGAGACAGTCTATCACCCAGGCTGGAGTGCAATGGTAAGACTATGGCTCAGTGCTCCCTCCATCTCCTGGGCTCAAGCGATCCTCCTGCTTCAGCCCCCCAAGTAGCTGTGACTACAGGCGTGTGCCACCGTGCCCAGCTAAAACCGAGGTCAAGTAACTTGCTCATAGTTGCACAGCTAGCAAGTGGCAGAGCCAGGGGTGAAACCCCAGGTAGTCTGACTCTGGAGTCTTTGGTTATTGCCTATGCATGTGTATTCTACTTTTATAACCACCGTATGAACTATTATTTGTAGTATTTCTCATTTATACATGAAGAAATTGAAATTCAGGGAAGCTCAAATAACTTGTTAAAATATAGTTAAAGGCAGAGCTTAGATGTGACTCAAGGTCTCTCTGACTCTAAAATCTGTGGTAGTTTATTTTATATGCCTTCACAAATACACTGCCTACTGAAAATAGGGGGTAATGTGTAGCAATGTTTATGACCAAAACCATGTACATTATTACTCAAACCTCAGATTTGCAAATTGAAAAATTGAATTTAAATTTAAATTAAATATAAATTTATACATTACAAAACAAGTTGCTAATATACAATGTTTTAAAATGTTATTCTTTAGAACCAATTTTTAGAAAAAAGCAGTTCTTTGATCCTAAGCATATAAATATATGGTTTCCACATTTTAATAGTCCATCCAATACAAAATTCTTGCACAATATGTAAAATTTTTATCAACATATAAATTTTAGCAAGAGAAACGTATTTTAAAGTATCCTTTTTAAATATTTCCCATTGCATGTCTTGAAAATCTGGGGGAAATCTTTGCAATTTCATTTTACATAGTTTCTCTTTTGTCCCCTCAGAAGTACAAACCCTACCCTAACCAATAGGAGAAAACTTTGCAATCCTTCCATGTCATCCTTAGTCTTTTCCCTTGCTTCCTTAAAAAATACTCTTCCTGGCATTTATTATAAAACTAGAATAGTCCAGGCACAGTGGCTCGCACCTGTAATCCCAACATTTTGGGAGGCCAAGACGGGCGCATTATCTGAGATCAGGAGTTTGAGACCAGCCTGGCCAACCTGGTGAAACCCCGTATCTAATAAATACAAAAAATAGCCAGGTGTGGTGGCATGTGCCTGTAATCACAGCTACTCAGTAGACTGAGGCAGAAGAATTGTTTGAATCTGGGAGGCAGAGGTTGCAGTGAGCCGAGATCACGCCACTGCACTCCAGCCTGGGCGACAGAGCGAGACTCTGTCTCAAAAAAATTAAAAAACCCTGGAATAAATAATCATAGAAATATAGTAGGAACAAGGGGAGGCTTTTTTCCCCCAAACTTCAAAATGTATTTAACATCATGAATACCTCAAGTAACTTAGATATTTTACACATTTCTTCCTCAATTCCTAATATCTTGAAATCCCATCTCTAAATGAGGAAGATATAGTAGCAGTTTTTTTTTTTTGTTCAGTTAAACATATTATGATTATAATTAACATGCCCTTCTAAATAGGTTTTATGATAGTATCATGGTATTTCTTTTACAAAACACATCTAAATGTCACAAGTAAGCCATTTCTTCTTCTTACATTTCATTTGCCTCTACTAATTCTTTCTCCATTGGCTAGAACATTGTTTTCATTTACACGTACTAGTTTTTTTGCATGTTCATACTAACTTCTAGAGAATTAGAATTATATGTTAGAATGTGTTTTGTTTATTGGCTTTTTTTTGAGACACGATCTCACTCCTGTCGCCCAGGCTGGAGTTCAGTGATGCATCTCGGCTCACTGCAGCCTGGACTTCCTGAGCTCAGGTCATCCTCCCACCTCAGCACCCCAGTAGCTGGGACTACAGTTTCATGCCACCATGCCCCCCTAATTTTTTGTATTTTTAGTGGAGATGGGGTTTCGTGATGTTGCTCAGGCTGGTCTCAAACTCCTGGGCTCAAGCAATCAGCCTGCCTCAACTCCCAAAGTGTTAGTAATACAGGCGTGGGTCACCATGTCCAGCCTGATGTTTCTAAAAGTGACACACAATGTTCTTATTGCTAGGGCGGATTTGTGCTGCCAGATCAAGTAAGATTAAAGGGTAGACACCACCATCCTAGCACAATGAATTAGGCTTTGATACTGACCACAATAGTCCAATCTTGGTGGACTTGACTTTGAACAAGAATGCTTGTTGATGATTGGGTTTTCACGCACATGTGTGAAATATGCCACTGTTGAACCTTGTTACACTGTTGGCACATTACCTGTCTGATCTGAGGGAAAGAAAAAGAATACTTATGTCTGAAGCAAGGATTTGTAATTTTTTATTTATTCTAAGCTCCAAAGCATTGTTCCTAGAAACAGAAACAAAAGAAACAATTCTTTTTTGTTTTGGAGACAGGTTCTTGCTCTGTCAGACTGTAGTGCAGTGGCACGATCTCAGCTCACTGCAGCCTCTACCTCCTGGGCTCAAGTTATCCTCCTTCCTCAGCCTCCTGAGTAGCAGAAGAAACAATTCCTATTTGTGATGTTCAGATTTGTTTTCTGAAAGGAATACTATAATATTGGAGTAAAGAATTTACTTAGAAGGGAAGGGCATATTAACTGTATGTTTAATTGAACTGCATTATTGTATGTGTATATTATTTAAGTGTACTTTATGATTATTTTACCAAGAAGACAGATCCCATTTATAGAGTGTTAAAATGTGAAAAAAGTATATATTACTAGCAAATAAAATTTCTAATTATTTCATCCCTGAGCGGTCTGAAAAGGAAAAATTCCTAATATTTTTATTTGCTCATTTGCAACTTTACTGGAGTTTAATCTTTAGAAAAAAAATTTTTTAATTTAATAGCAGAATAGAATGTTTAATATATTCAAGTTAAGTTTTTAACAACTTGACAATTTATTTTTAATTCATGTGTTTCAGAAAAGTTTTTGTTACCTAGGCTTGGGCTTTTAAAGTAATATCAAATTTTTATAAATGGATTTTATATTTTTTTACTTGATTTTATGAAAATGGGTTGTAGATTGCACATCTAGCACAAATTGAAGATGATAGAGCTGCGATGGTTATTTCTTGGCATCTGGCAAGTGACATGGACTGTGTAGTCACCCTAACCACTGATGCTGCACGTCGTATCTATGATGAAACCCAAGGTCGTCAGCAGGTGTTGCCCCTTGATTCTATTTATAAGAAGACTCTTCCAGATTGGAAAAGGTTAGAAAAAAGTGAAAGTAATGGTTTTTTCTGAAATATATTTTCTGTTTTTTATCAAAGCCTTGAATTTAAAAATGATTTATCTAAAAGATATCTAAAACAGAGAATTGACTTGAATTATCTACATTATTTTTGTCTTCATCACAAATGGGCATTTTTCATTACATATGCTGGCTATGTTTTATTTGCCAATTAAATGTTATTTATATATGTAATGTATACACACAAAGACATACATGTATATGTAATGTATATACACAAGACATAAAAAATACAAGGACATAAAATTTTTTTTTAATTTTTTAATTTTTATTTTTTGAGATGCAGTCTTGCTCTGTCAGCCAGGCTGGGCGTGATCACAACTCAGTGCAGCCTCAACCTCCCTGGATTCAAACTACCCTCGCACCTCAGCTTCCCAAGTAGCTGGGACTACAGGTGCATGCCAGCATGCCCAGCTAAATTTTTTTTTTTTTTTTTTTTTGCTATATTGCCCAGGCTGGTCTCAAACTTTTGGGCTCAAGCAGTCCTCCCACCTCAGTTTCCCATACTGCTAGGATTACAGGTGTGAATCACTGCATCCAGGCCCTTTTTTATATTTTATGTGTACTCTGATTAGGCCTACTTTTAAAAATGCACCTAAAGACAGGAAGGAAATACTAACAAAAAAATAAATAAAAATGTATAACAGAATATTGGTCAGTATTTTCTCAGATTACTAAACAAAGCTTTTCACGGCCTGTAATTGCATAGGAATGGGGACTTGAAGGAGAATGGGATCTCATTAAGAGCCTACTATGTCAGTAAACTTGTTATTTCATCTTATAAATCTAAAAATAGATTGAGGAAACAAAACAGCTGTATGTTGAACTCAGATCTATCGGATTCTAAAATCTGCTACCCTGCAGCTAGTCAGTACTCAAAGGAACAGCATGGGAAATCCTGACAGGTCATTGTTACTGTGTTGATAAAGGTAATGCTTTTTTTTTTTTTTTTTTTTTTTTTTTTGGAGACAGAGTCTCGCTCTGTCGCCCAGGCCGGAGTGGAGTGGCGCGATCTCGGTTCACTGCAATCTCCACCTCCCGGGTTCACACCACTCTCCTGCCTCAGCCTCCCAAGTAGCTGGGACTACAAGCGTCTACCACCACGCTCGGCTAATTTTTTTTGTATTTTTTTAGTGGAGATGGGGTTTCACCGTGTTAGCCAGGATGATCTTGATCTCCTGACCTCGTGATCCGCCCGCCTCGGCCTCCCAAGGTGCTGGGATTACAGGCGTGAGCCACTGCGCCCAACCCACTTAAGAGAATGGGTTTAACTCTTGCCCAGACTGGAGTGCAGTGTCTACTCACAGGCACAGTCATAGCTCATTGCAGCCTCAAACTTGTGGGCTCAAGTGATCCTCCTGCCTCAGCCTACCAAGTAACTGGGACGACTAGAGGCATGTACCCCTCACACCCTAATGCTTTTTGTGAGAAGAATTTTTTTCTCCAGGAGGGCTTATTTATCTCTTTAATCCCTGGAGACTAAGTTAAGGATCCTTGATTTAGGGAAATTATGGATTTGACATTTAAGACTCACGTTTGTTCTAGAAACGAGTTATCCTCTCTGTTTCTGGTATTCTCTCTCTTACTGGGATTGAGTTAACTAGAGCTCCTCCACACCTATGTTGAAGGGAAAGTCTCTGACACCCCAATCAACTACCATCTCTGAAATTCCATTGTTATCATCTACTGGCTTCAATTCCTCTTCCTATTGTGTCGGAAGGACAAGGAGACAGGGGACATAGAGCTGCCTTCCTCATATGTTTCTCAGTCTTGGGTCTTGCCCCTTCCCCTAGTCATTCTGTGACCACTCTTCACGTGAACAGTTACGTCATTCATACTCTCGTTTGGAACCAGCTTTAGAGGCTACTTTTTTTCTTTCCTTGTCAAATGAAACTATTATTATATTGTTAATACAAACTAATAGAAGGTAGTAGTACAGATAAAACCAAGTAGATTTTTTTATATGGTCAGTATTGTTTCCATTTCTAAGGGCATAATAGCTGATCATTTAGAAGTATCACTTGTGGTGGATTGGGAGTTCATTGTATGATCAAAATGATGTGTAATATATTCATGTTTTCCATATTGTCTTTTTTAAAATTAAAAAAGTCATGTACTTTAATATCTTTTAAAAATTTCTTTTTATTTAGACCTCTACCTCATTTCCGAAATGGAAAATTGTATTTTAAACCTATTGGAGATCCAGTCTTTGCTCGAGACTTGTTAACATTTCCAGATAATGTAGAACATTGTGAAACAGGTAAAAGACATTATGGTGGCTTTACTTTTGTACAGATGTAAAATTTGTGATACAAATCTATAAATTATTGATAATGAAAATTTATATTCTTATTTTGCTTATCAGTCATAGTTTTACCAATATTTTTTAGAGGACAGTCAAATAAAATTAGAACGAATACTAGCATTCTTTCAAAGAAAGACTTGCAATGTGCATTATATTTTAATATGACCAAGGAAAATATCATAATTTTCAAAATTCATTTATTGACTTTTTTAGTATTTGGTATGCTGTTAGGAGACACCATTATTTTGGATAATCTGGATGCAGCCAATCATTATAGAAAAGAGGTATGTATTTGATTTCTTTTTAAATTTGTAGACTTCAGTTTTAATGTGTATCATGTCCATTTGATGATACATATATAAATGACTAGCCTTTTCAAGACCAATTTAAATTCTGCAAATTGATAAGCAACATAAAAGTAGGCAAAATGTAGGAATGAATGGACCAGGATACAAATTTAAATAAATGTGTTTTGGGGCTATGAAATTGTCTAAGACTCAAAACAGTGTCTGTTAGCATTGGAAAAAAGTACTGTCAGGTAATTTTGGTGTAAAATGTAATTTGCTGTAGCTCTTTGTATTAGTTTTCTAGGGCAGCCATTAACTGATGTAAATGATAGAAATATTACTGTCCCACAACAGACTGGGTGGCTTAAATAATAGAAATTTATTGTATCACAATTCTCGACATTGGAGATCCAAATTCACAGTTTCAGTGGGGTTGGTTTCTTCTAAAGACTATGAATGAAGGATCTGTTCCAGGCCTCTCCCTGCCTTGTAGATGAGGACTGTCTTCCCCCGTCTCTTCACATCTGTGTGTGACTGTATTCAAATTTCTCCCTTGTTGTAAGGATACCAGTCATATTGGATTAGGGCCCACCACAATGACCTCAAATTAACTTGATTATCTCAGTAAAGACCCTATCTCCAAATAATGTCACATTCTGAGGGACTGGGGGTTAGGACTTTAGCATGGATTTGTCGGGGGCTGGTCCCAAACAAAGGTAATGAGTTATCTCAATTGATTGTTCACAGTCAGCTATAGATCTAACTCTTTGTTTTATTCTTTCCTCCCCTTCTCACTAGTCTTCTTGACTGGTCTTGTAAAAAATAAATATATAAAAGATTATGGGGGAGCACAGTTTAGCCCATAGCACCTTTGGAGGGGAGTTTGGTAAAATAAACATTTCAGTTATTTACTGCGGCTATATATATAACACTCTAAATTGTAAGTTTAAACAACAACATACCAGTCCTCTTTGTAGGTTTCTCCAAGTGATGTTGGCTAGTTGAACTGGAGTGGTGGCAGCTCTAAAATGTCTGCCTTACGTAGCTGGCAACTAGTATCTGTTGTCATCTGGCATATCAGCTGGTATTGGCCAGGGGTTCTTTTGGGGATGTCTGCTAGGGTTATTGTTCTCACCCATGAGGGTGAGATAGAGTAGGGTAATGCCATTTAGAGTTTTAGAAGCCCTTTTGTCTAGCTAAGAGGATCCAGGAGGGCAGAAGTTTAAATCTTTCAGAGGTCTTAACAAAGGAACGTCCTTGACTTGATTTTGACCCTAAGGACACATGTTACAGGCAGTACCCTGGATTTGATCTAAGCCAGTATCTGTAAATAGTGTATTCTAGAATCATGGGGACCATAGGGATCATCTAGGATGATTTAGGACCAGTGAGAATAGATGAGAGACCTTAGGCTGAGAACAAATAATGGAGAGCTGGACATGTGATGCATACTTGTAGTTCCAGCTACTTAGGAAGCTAAGGGAGGTTTGCTTGAACCCAAGAGTTCTAGGCTATAGGCTGTCGTGTGCTCTGATCATGCCTGTGAATAGCCACTGCACTCCAGCCTAGGCAATATAATGAGATTCTGTCTAAAAAAATAAAAATTGTTAAAGAGGTGGGGGATTTGGCCCAAGTCACACTTTACTAATTTATAGCAGAGCTAGAACTAAACTGGTGTAATTTTTCTTTGGGCCTAGTTAAGAAGCAGTAATAGGGTGCCGGGTACAGTGGCTCATTCCTGTAATCCCAGCACTTTGAGAGGCCAAGGCAGGCGGATCACTTGAGGTCAGGAGTTACGAGACCAGCCTGGCCAACATGGTGAAACCACGTCTCTATTAAAAATACAAAAATTAGCTGGGCGTGGTGGCAGGTGCTTGTAATCCCAGGTACTTAGGAGGCTGAGGCAGGAGAATCACTTGATCCTGGGAGGTGGAGGTTGCAGTGAACTGAGATCATGCCACCACACTCCAGTTCAGGCAACAGAGCAAGACTCTTTTTTTTTTTTTTTTTTTAAAGGCAATAATAAATTCATCGTAGTTTAGGAAAACTAAATTACTGGGATTATTGAGCATTATGTAGCTAATTAGAAAATGGTATTTGGCATCTTCATGAACGTTTCCTTGTAAACCTAATAATAAGTATAATATACTGTACCAGAAACTGGCTGTGGGTGGGAGAGCTACAATATTCTGGTGGTGATTAGCATTTTCATATATCCCAAATTATGAAATAGAAACATACCCATTAAATGTTATGATAACATGGAATCAGTTTGGAGATGGCGAGAAGCTTGCTAGTAAGGATAGAACTAACTAATAGGATGATAAGTTATCAACTGGAAGACTCCTGTTCAGTGAGATATTTGGATACTTACTATGTATGAGACAGTGGTGTGCTGTTATGTGTTGAACTATTTCTCTGAGGAGGCATGTGGAAGTCCCTGATTTGTAGCTTTTGCCAATTTCTGTGGTGTAAGTACTTGTATCATGGATGATTTCCAGCAGTCTATATGAAGTCCTTCATGCCTATACGAATGTGGTATTCAGGAGACCTGGCTTTCGTGACCCAGTACAAGCTGGTTCCAGCATATCACTAGGCACAGTGCACAGAGGGTCATACAATGATGAATTAGACAAACCAGATAGCCATTGGAAACTCCAGCTGAGATTAGCTAAAATGTGATTTCAGATATGTATCTTAATGAACTTGGCAAGAAAGTAAGGATTCTAAGTGGAAGTGGGAACCTGGAGAGATAAACAGAACACTAATGCCAGATTTCTGCAGTGAGAACGTTTGCCAAACTAATTGAACTTAAGCATTGACTTTTTACTCCCTCGAGGGGCTTTTGAGGGTAGGAGACAAAACCCAGGGCTCTAAACAACACGGGGAATCTGATAACTGGGGACACCCCCTCTGTGAGGAGAAACCTTAGTGTAAGAGTAAACATATAAACCTGCCACCTTCATCTCAACTCCAGCTGCTTCAGGGAACTACCAGAAAATTCTCTCTTGAACTTTGGGACTAAGCGGAAAAGTAAAAAAGTTAAACATTTTTCTAGAGAATTCATCAACATAACAATTGACTCTAGTATCTCTTTGCAACCTGTATTCATACTACTTAGATGTTCTGAAAACCTTCAAGGTAAACATTTGGTTTCATGTGCTGGACTAGTAGTATCCTTAGATATCTGATTGAAGTAAACACAAATGTTTTCTGGAGGAATTTCACCATTGTTTTTGAATGGAAATAATTTCCACATTGAAAATGAGAGCAAATATTTTCAAAGTGTTAATATTTGATTAATATAGTTCAAAAAATGAAAGTGTTGAAAAATGAGAAAAGAACAAGTTAAATTGAAAAATATCTATATTAATAGTTGATTAAAATAGTTCAAAAAATGAAAGTGTTGAAAATGAGAAAAGAATAAGTCAACTTAGAAAAATCAAATAGAGCTTCTAAAAATGAAAAGATTATAACAAATTAAATACTAACTGAGCAGGTTTAACATCTTAAGAATTTGTGAATTAAAAAGAGGGTCAGAAAAAAATATTCAGACTGCAGCCCAGAGAGAAAGAGAAAATGGAATGTAAGACAAAGAAGTTGAAGAGACATGGAGGGTAGAATGAGAGAGCATCTAACCAAAATTTAATCAGAGTGTCGAGAGGAGAGAGTTTATAAAAGGATTGTAGGCAATATTTGAAGAACTAATGACTGAAAATATCTTAAAACTGATCAAAGATACCAATACTAGTTTTGCAAAAATGTTATAGCACATATGTGACAAAAAAGGAATAGTATTTGTTCTTCATAATTGATAATAGCACATAATTGATTTCCTTGCTTCCAGATTTCTAAATGAAGTCATATGTAACTTTGCCAATCAAATATTATTTTAAAACTCTTCTGAGAAAAAGCTCTTATGACATTCCTTGGTAACATTGTTGGATTTCAGAGTTGTAATATTGTTGTTCATTCCAGAATTTGCAAGTGCTGTCATGACTTTTTTTGTCCTAATAGTGTACTTAATGAGGTAGAATCATGAGGTTGAGGGAGAATTGAGAAACTGTCTGTGAAAGTAGTATTTCCAGAATCATCATAAAAGGAGAGCCAAACTGTCTGTCCTTCTACCATAACGCTTCCCTCATATTGTCTATTAACAAGAGAATAGAAAATCTATACATTTTAGTGTATTTATTTAAGATCATATTAGGCTGAGCATGATGACTCCTGCCTGTAATCTCAGCACTTTGAGAAGCCAAGGCAGTAATATCACTCGAAGCCAAGAGTTCGAGACCAGCCTGGGCAACATAGACGCTAACTCTACAAAGTTTAAAAAAAAAAAAAAAAGTAACCAGGCATGGTGGCTTACACCTGTAGTCCCAGCTATTCAGGAGGCTCAGTTGGGTTAATTGTTTGAACCCAGAAGTTGGAGTCTGTAGTGAGCCCTGGTCATGCCACTGCACTCCAGCCTGGGCAACAGAACGAGACCACAACTCAAAAACAAAACAAAACAAAACAAAAACAAAGATATTAAATCCTTAGAAACATTGATTGCCTGAATCTTGATAAGTGGTAACATGTGAAGCCAGTCTGTATTTTTGTTGTCGTCGTTCACCACTAGAAAACATATAAACCCAAACCAAAACTAAGAAATTAAGTTGTTATTTCTTATAAAAACAAATGATTTTTGAATTTGTAAATACTGGCTTTACCAAAGAATTCACCACAGGATTTCTTCAAATAATCATCTTATTACATTTAGTTTATCTTGTATATATATAATTCAGAGGCTATTTAGCCCCAATATTAGATTGGACAACATTTTTATACTTGTTTAAAATTACAATGTTCTTCATTAATGTATGTATGCTATTTCATTGTATGGAGGTGCCGTAATTTACTTGTATAACTTGTTGAGACATGTAAGTTTACTACTTTTCATTATTAAAACAATATTTCAGTGTACATCGTTCACATTTTTTATTTTTTCCTGATAAGATTCTTAGAAGTAGAATTGCTGAATCATACAGAATGTTAAACTTTTTAACACTTGTCCTGTTTCCTTTAAGAAGGGCTGTCCCAGGGCATATGAGTACAAGAAGGCCCTTTTTCCATAGCCCCCCATCAAAGGGGTGTGTGTGTGTGTATTTTAACATATTGAGTAGTAAAAATATCTTATTTGAATTCCACGTCTCTGGTTACCCATGAAGTTTAACTTTTATTTTTTAATATTTTCTGAACCTTTTTTGCAAGAACATTCTTCTAGATCATGACATACTAAATCCAGTGTTTTTCTTTTATTCTGACTTCTCTGAAGAATTTTTTTTTTTTTTTCTCTCTGAGACAGAGTCTGGCTCTGTTGCCCAGACTGGAGTGCAGTAGTGCGATCTTGGCTCTCTGCAACCTCTGCCTCCTGGATTCAAGCGATTCTCCTGCCTCAGCCTCCTGAGTAGCTAGGATTACAGGCGCATGCCACCATGCCCAGCTAATTTTTGTATTTTTAGTAGAGATGGGGGTTTCAATATGCCGATCAGGCTGGTCTTGAACCCCTGACCTCGTGGTCTGCCTGCCTTGGCCTCCCAAAGTGCTGGGATAGGCGTGAGCCACCACACCTGATATAAGAATTTAATTCTTAACCCTTATCTTTTCCTATCCATGACTTCAGTTTTTTCTTCATGATTTCACTTCCCCTAACTCTCAAATGATCACCTCTTTATCTTCCCATACCTAAAACCATAGTATTGTCTTTAGAAGAGTCAGTCTAGTGCTTTCCAGTCTGTATTTTCGTCAATGTAATACTCTCCTTTTGCTATCTTTTGGTCATCTAAAAAACTTAAATCTAACAGAGGAAACTGGGTTGGTGATGCTACCTTGATACTTAACTGCCACGGGTTCCAAAGCACGGAAGTCTCTGGACTGTCCTCTTCCTTCCACTTACCGATCCATCATTTACTTTTTTCACTTGTGTTGTCACTGTTCTAGTTTAGGCTGACATTTGAAAAGTTGTGTAATTCATCTCTCCGCCTCTGGATTTTTCCCTCCAGTTTATCTTACACATCGCTAGTTACTAATTTTTTGAAAATACTACCGTGATCCTGTCATTTCTAATCTCAGAAATTTTTTTGGAGCAGTTGAAATAAGTTGCTCACTACTTACTATTCACTTACTTACAATAGGTTGTTAAAATTACACACTGTCCTACACTGCTGACCAGAGATGGAGATCGAATTCGAAGTAATGGAAAGTTTGGGGGCCTTCAGAATAAAGCTCCTCCAATGGATAAACTTCGGGGAATGGTATTTGGAGCTCCAGTACCAAAACAGTGTCTGATCTTAGGGGAACAAATAGGTAAGTTCAATAAGTACTTAAATAGCAATTTCTAATTTAATTTTACCTTTTTTTTAAGAGCTTATGTTTTGAGAATCTAACGTGAAAACTTAACAAATGTAAATAAGTAACAAATGTAAGTAAGATGTTTTTGTCTACTACTTTCAGCTTTTTTATATCAGGTAGTTTAGAGTTATGTAAATAGTAGCTTTATCCTTTGTATTTTCATTCTTATATGTAGCGCATGCCTCTGTTACCAGCTACTCGGGAGGCTAACACAAGAGTGTTGCTTGAGCCCAGGAGTTTGAGGTCAACCTGGGCAACATAGCAAGACTCCATCTCTTAAAAAAAAGAAATTTCTCTGCTTATTGAATAAGTCAGTATTTTATTACATAATCATAATACTTATTTTTATCTTGAAATTTGTAACTATCTAGAAAAATTAAGGCTTATTAGAAAGTGTATGACATGTGATCTCCTGCCTATTTTTCCCTTCTACAGGCTGTGTCCCTTTGCATCTAATTAGCCAATATAATTATCTCTGCACATCTGTGCTCTGCAGTGGATATACTTACCAGGAAGTCTCCTTACCATCCATTACCTTAGAGCCTATTTACTCTTAATTTATATAATTAATTCTCATACACTCAACTGTCTACTTTCCCAACACAGAGCAGTTTGTTGTTAACTTTCTTTTAGTTGCAAAATACATATAACATAAAATTTACCATCTTAACCATTTTTAAGAGTACAGTTCAGCTGGGCTCGGTGGCTCACGCCTGTAGTCCCAGCACTTTGGGAGGCTGAGGCTGGCAGATGACGAGGTCAGGAGATCAAGACCATCCTGGCTAACCCAGTGAAACCCTGCCTCTACTAAAAATACAAAAAAAAATTAGCTGGGCATGGTGGCATGTGCCTGTATTCCCAGCTACTCGGGAGGCTGAGGTAGGAGAATCGTTTGAACCCAGGAGGCGGAGGTTGCAGTGCACTGAGATTGCACCACTGCACTTCAGCCTCGGCAACAGAGACTCTATCTAAAAAAAAAAAAAAAAGTGCATTCACATTGTTGTTCATTCTATCTCCAGAACTGTTTTCAGTATGCATAGTTGAAACTTTGTATAAATTCTCCATTATCCATTCCCTGACAATTATACTACTTGGGAGTGAGTGACATGATACTGCTTTCTGTCTCTCTGAATATGACTCTTCTAGATACTTCATATAAGTGGAATCATACAGTATTTGTCCTTTTGTGACTGGCTAGTTTCACTTAGCATAATGTCCTCAAGGTCTGTCCATGTTGTATGTAATAAGTATTAGAATGTCCTTCCTTTGTACAAAGGCTGAATAATATATATTTCATTGTATGTATTTGCAACGTTTTGTTTACTTTTATTTACTTTTTTCTTATTTTTATTTTTCTTGACATAGAGTCTCACTCTGTCACCTAAGCTGGAGTGCAGTGGCACAATCTCAGCTTACTGCAACCACGGCCTCCCGGGATCAAGCAGTGCTTGTGCCTCAGCCACCCAGTTGCTGGGATTACAGACATGTGGCACCACACCTGGCTAATTTTTGTCTCTTTAGTAGAGATGGGGTTTGAACTCCTGGCCTCAAGTGATCCACCTTCCTTGGCCTCCCAAAGTGCTGGGATTACAGGCATGAGCCACTGTGCCTGGCCACTTTGTTTACTTTTATTAAAGTAAAATACACAGAAAAATGTGCATATTTCGTGAACATTCAGCTTGATGGATCTTCACAACATGAACACTGCACTTGTATTAAAAAATAGAACATCAGACTGGGCGTGGTGGCTCACACCTGGAATCCCAGCACTTTGGGAGGCCAAGGCAGGCAGATCACCTGAGGTCAGGAGTTCAAGACTAGCCTGGCCAACATGGTAAAACCCCATGTTTACTAAAAATACAAAAATTAGCTGGCCATGGTGGCAGGTGCCTGTTGTCCCAGCTACTCACGAAGCTGAGGCAGGAGCGTCACTCGAGCCTGGGAGGCAGAGGTTGCAGTGAGCAGAGATTGTGCCATTGCACTCCAGTCTGGGTGACAAGAGCAAAACTCTGTATTAAAAAAAAAAAAAAAGATAAAAAAGAAACACCAGTACTGTAGAAGATTTCTTTTTGGCTCCTCCACTTCCTACCCACCACTGCATACTCAAAGGATAACACCTTTCTTGACTTACAAAGTAGCATAGATTAATTTTGCCCATTTTAGTACTTTATATACTTGGTATTTTGCAGTGCATACTTTTTTATATGTCTGGTTTTGTTCATTCAACACTATGCATGCAGTTCATTTTCATTGCAGGAGAATATTTCATTGTGTGAATGAAATGTACAATTTATTCTACTGTTGAGGAATTTGAGCAGTGTCTTAAGTCTGTTTTGTGTTGCTATAAAGGAATACCTGAAGCTGGGTGATTTATAAAGAAAGAGATACTTAATTTGGCATTCAGTTCTTCTGGCTGAAAAGTTCAAGATTGGGCATCTGCATCTGGTGAGGGTGTCAGACTGCTTCCAATCACAGTAGATGAAGAGGAGCTGGCATGTGCAAAGATAACATCTTAAGAAAAAGATAACATCTTAAGAAAGGAAGCAAAAGGGGAGGGGAGGGAAGGTGCCAGGCTCTTAACAACCAGCTTTTAGGAACAGAGCAAGAATTCACTCACTCCCTAGGGATGGCACTAATCTATTCATGAGGGATCTGCCTTCATGACCCCAACATTAGGCCTCACTTCCCAACACCACCATACCAGGGGTCAAATTTTAACATGAGCTTTGGTGGAGACACACAAACCATAGCAGGTAATTTCCATTTGGGGCTATCAGTTCGGCCTCAGTTTTTAAATTAGTAGTTGAGAAAGGTGGTAGTAAGAGGAGTCATACTTCTGTTTACGACATCAGTGAACACATACAGTCTGTACAATGAGTGAATATCTAAAGAAACTGGTAAGAAATCAGAGAAAACATTTTAATCAAGGTCAATGAATTAATGTAAAAGGCCTCGACTCTATACCTAAGCATTTTATGGCAGTAGTTCCCAAAACCAGAAAGAACTACCTATGGAACTTAAAAAATACACAGATGTCATATTTAATATTTGCTTATCTTTCTTGACAAATATATTCAAAGATACACTCCCACATATAGACTAATGATTCATTGATAAGAACTCAAATCAAAGGAGACCATTTAAGGTTACTAATGTATATAAAGTACTAATGTATATAAAGTAAGCAATAGCAGCCATGCGTGACTACTTTAAGCCAAACAGGAATCTATTAGAAGGAAACTGGAAGAAATCATAGATTTACAGGAGATGGGAACAGCTAAGACGAAGTCAAAGATGACTCTGGGACAGTCAGCATCCTTGAGCTCCAGATACCTTCACCCTGGAGTTTTAATATAACTTAACTCCCACCACTACTAGGAGAGAGAAATGCCCACCGCCTTCCAGGTCAGCCAGACTTAGTAAGGATCAAATAAAGCAAACAGCTTTGGAGACCCTTCCCTGGGTATCATGGAATCATTCTCAGAGCAAAAGCAATTTTGAGGAAGGCCATCACCATAAAAATTGTCCACTACTAGCACAGTTATAAGCAAACTATTTGTCTTCTAAATAATTTGCCTATACATTGTCTTGCATGATTAGTATGAGATAAGAGCAAATCAGAGCATAAGAAGAAAAAAAATTACTGGATATTTACATATTATAAAATATTATTATATTGCAGACACCCTGTTAAGGTTGTCACATGAATGATCTTGTTTACTGCTGTTATCTTCATCTTATAGATGAAGAAGTTGAGGTTCAAAAAGGATAGATAACTTTCTCATGTTTAGAATAGTGTGTGTATTTGTTAGCACACTGAAGAAAGTAGAAAGAAAAATACTTTTAATTCTGGGTTATATAATTGAGATAATTTTCTCCATTATCCCTTTCTATATATTTTTCCAGACTTGCCTCAGTGAGCATTGTGTCACTTTTATAATCAGAAAGTTTTACTTATTGTTTTTAATATTCATGTTTTTTATTTTATTGTATTTTATTTTTTGAGACAGAGTCTCACTCTGTTGCCCAAGCTGGAGTGCAGTGGCTTGATCTAATTGCTACCTCCACCTCCCAGATTCAAGTGATTCTTGTGCTTCAGCCTCCTGAGTAGCTGGGATTACAGGTGCACACCTCCACACCCAGCTAATTTTTATATTTTTGTAGAGATGGGGTTTCACTATGTTTGCCGGGCTGGTCTCGAACTCCTGACCTCAAGTGATCGGCCCACCTCAACCTCCCAAAGTGCTAGGATTACAATGTGAGCCACCTCCCCCGGCCGAATTCATATTCTTCTAATGTATAATTGATTTTCTAGGAAACATGCCTAAACAAACAATCCTAAATACAGACAAGGTATTGTTTTATTCAGATGAGTATCACAGCTTTGTTTTTCGTTTGTTTTTTGAGAAAGGGTCTCACTTTGTTGCCCAGGCTGGAGTGCAGTGGCATACTCATGGCTCACCATAGCCTTCCATCTTACCGGGATCAGGTGATCCTCCCACCTTAGCCTTTTGAATAGCTGGGACTACAGGCTTGTGCCACCACATTGGCTAATTTTTTTGTATTATTATTATTTTTTTGTAGACATGGGGTTTTGCCATGTTGCCCAGCTGGTCTCAAACTCCTGGGCCCAGGCAGTCTGCCTGCCTTGGCCTCCCAGAGTGCTAGGAATTACAGATGTAAGCCACTCTGCCTGGCTACAGCCTTGTTTTTCAAGTAAAACATAGAAATGTTAAATTCTTTAATTGAATTTGTAACCTGGAGAATGTCTATGTCAAGGTTAAGTGGAAGATGAATAAAAATACAAATATCACACATGTTAAAAATTAAACCTGTAAACCTGTGGAATGAAAAGAAAAAAGTGAGAGAGTAGACCTTCTGGTTTTTTCCCCACCATTTCTTGTTTCCTATACAAACTTAGGATGTTTCAACTTACGTTTTTCAACTTCACAACG